AAAGTACAGGTTTGACCTAACTGCACTGATCTCCTGGTGGGTCTCTGGGTCAACATGAGTCAACAGGGATCCCCAGAAGTTGCTCACCTGCTCTATCATTTTTTCACTCTCTGTGTTATCTCTTCAACCAGTTTGTCGCGATCACTGCCAGGCTCCAACCCTTTTCTCAAATCCACAGCCTTTGCATTCTCCAAATCCTGATGTACCTGAGAATACATCTGCAGGAATCTGAAGGCGTCCTCCTCGCTCTTTGCTGCTTGTAAGCTGCTCTTGCTGGTTTTGACGGACACCATACGAGCAGAGACCGAACTCTGGACCCTGGTCAAGGCAAGGTCACGCAGGTTAGTCACAGCCTCAATGAGACGAACACTGGAGCGACCAAGTTTTTCTCTTTCATTCTTCTCCCACTTTTCCAGACTGGTATTTGCACCATCAGCCTTCACCAGTAAGGCCTGCTGCTCAGCTTGGACCTTTTCCAGAAGCTCTTTGTGGGCTGTGGAGAAGGTCTTCATATTGTGTAGGCGGTGCTGGTCCTCAATTGCACAGGAAACACACACACAGGTGAAGTCGTCCAAGCAGTAGTACTCAAGCAGTTTGCCATGTTGGGGGCATTTAGTGGTTACAACTAAACCTCCATTTCCTGAGGCTATAGGCTCCGTCAGAGGATGAGTCTGCAGTAACACAGGAGTGGTCAGATGAGCCTGGAGGTGCTGGACACACATGGAGATCTCACATTTCATGCAGGTCTTCCGTGCTGGTTGTTTGTTATCCTCTGTACACATGTCGCAGTAGACGACGTGGCGGCCCTTGGGCAGATTGTCGGACATGTTTTCAAAGCAGGAAGTGCTGATTAAGTGTTCTTAAATAAGACTCAGTGCGGAAAAAAGTCCTCAGTATCCTCCTCGTATCTCTCTGCTTGACTGTTTAGTAGATAAGATTATGTAGTTGGGAATTCGTTCAAGTTTCTCAGTCCCCCTGCTCTTCCACGGCAGCTCTGCCTAACAGTTTCGTTTCTGCTAAAGTAAACATTCAGTGGGTGTGCCACATTGAAATGGCTGCAGCCCCTCCCTGGGAGAGGGAATGTATTTTAAAATACAACTCATTTCCTGACAGGAAACATCCGAACCATACTGCACAAAACCCCAGACGTTAGTATCTATACTGAAATGTTCAGTCTACTGAGGATGACGTGGACCCAAAAAATGGCTATGAATGACCACTCGGGTTCAGTCTACTGAAGCCCCCTAAGCTCATATACTTTTAAAACATCACATTTATTATCTTGCCTCTCAGTCGAGCTTATGTGCAGCTAAATGAGCCTTTAATGACACAACTGAATGGAAACTCTTATCAGCCTCAAAATACTAAACTAAAATAAACTTTTTCTCAGTTTTTAAGTGAGATGAACATGATGTCAGTATTTTATTTAATAGTTGAAGGATATTCCCTTCATAAAATAGTTAATTATTAAATGCTTTAAGCCTTGATTTATTATCATCCGTCATTACATTTTGCTGCCAGTTATAAAGTGGTAGGTAAAAAAAGAAGAAGCTGTAAACCTGGGGGAAACACTGTTATATGTAGGCCTATTGCACGGATGTGTATCCGTAGTTTGAATATTTCCTGGTCCAATCTTGTCCGAATATATACGGAGAAATCCCAAAACAATGTCCATGAATGATAAAGTGTTTAATCTTCTGGATATTCTCCATATCTTTGATGTAGGCTATACAAACGTATCACCAATTTGGATAGTTCTGTTTTTGGGGAATTTATTTCAGTCTGACTAGAAGCACAAATTACTGATATTTACATTCACCAAATGAAACAACAAATATTATTACTCTAGGCGTGTTCGATGAGCATTGATATAATTGTAATCAGCAAAATGGAAATGTGTAAATGTTGGCAAAAGACAAAAACATGGCTGTCCATTACAGAAGTTCACAAAGCACCTCAGTGTTTTCTGAGAGACCAATATTTTTTCCACAATCACAGTTATTTCGGGGCGACATTTGGTGCGAGTAGTGTCTGTGAATCTTCCAAGGATAAACCCTCCCACATGAGCATTTCCACTGCTTCCGCCATAGTTGTTGATATGTTGAGGAAACCCTAGACCCACTTGCACTTGACTTGACTGAGCAATTTTTTGAATTTTCCATTTCAAAGCAAACAAAAGAAGTCAGGCGCCCATTGGAACTGACTGTTATATTGACTATTTGTCTTTTCTGTTGCTGGCCGATCACACTGAAGAAAGATAAGTTAGGATAGCTCCATACCACTTCCACTTTTGTATATTGGGCCATTTGTTTTGTCTCGTCTTCACCTGAAGGGTACAGCACTTGAGAGTAAGTGTTACGCCTTGCATTTCGTGTAGTGTAAATTGACATTGTATCTGAAGTGTAAATCCCAGAATGTGTTATGAGAGAGCTGAGCTGGTTACCTTTCCAGCGCAGTCCATAGACCTCTCCATCTCTTTGGTTTAACTGCTTTGCATAGTTTTGGTCACATAAGCCAATGGTCCAGTCACAGTCGTTGGAGAGGCTGATTACCCATCTGTGAATGTTACAATCTCTGGAAGACTGTGTACCCTGAATTAGAAATGTGAAGGGAGTAGGTTTTCCTTGCCAATCATTGTAGAAGACCTTCCTTTTGTCTTTGGAGAGTGATATCCCAGGACCACAAGTCAGAGGGTCAAAGAACAGGTCTGAACTAACTGCACTGAGCTCCTGGTTCTCTGGGTCAACATGAGTCAGCAGGGATCCCCAGAAGTGGCTCGTCTGTTCATCATTTCGTCACCTCTCTGTCTTATCTCTTGAACCAGTTTGTCACGATCACTGCCAGGCTCCAACCCCTTTTTCAAATTCACCACTTTGGCCTTCTTTAAATCCTGATGCACCTGAGAATACATCTGCAGGAATCTGAAGGCGTCATTCTCGTTCCTTGCAGCTTGTAAGCTGCTCTTGCTGGTTTTGATGGAAACCATACGAGCAGAGACCGAACTCTGGACACTGGTCAAGGCAAGGTCACGCAGGTTAGTCCCAGCCTCCATGAGACGAACACTGGAGTGGCCCAGTTTTTCTCTTTCCTTCTTCTCCCACTTTTCAAGAATAATACTTTCATCATAAGTTTTTACGTGTAAGGCCTGCTGCTCAGCTTTGACCTTTTCCAGAAGCTCTTTGTGGGCTGTGGAGAAGGTCTTCATATTGTGTTTGCTGTGCTGGTCCTCAATAGCACAGGAAACACACACACAGGTCAAGTCGTCCAAGCAGTAGTACTCAAGAGTTTGCCATGTTGGGGGCATTTAGTGGTTCCAACTAAACCTCCATTTCCTGAGGCTATAGGCTCCGTCAGATGATGAGTCTGCAGTAACAGGAGTGGTCAGATGAGCCTGGATGCTGGACACACATGGAGATCTCACATTTCATGCAGGTCTTCCGGGCTGGTTTCTTATTATCTTCCGCACACATGTCACAGAAGATCACATGCCGCTGTTCGTTACCTAGATTCCTAGACATGTTTTCAGACTCAAGAAGATCTTGAAATTAAGTATTTTCTTTGAATCAAATACTAGTTCTTAAGAAGTATTATGAAATGGTGTCAAAGAAGCTGTTTGCGTTTTCCTGTCTCACGGAGTCCGGTGTGTTTGAGCTTTACTCTAGGCCACTCTCCAATTCTTATATAGCACTATAACAGAGTAAAACTTGAACGCCCTACTCATAAAAATCTGCACTCAAGCTTATCAGTCCAAAAAAGATTAATAATTTACTATAGATAACATCTGCAAACCAAACGCACGCATGTAGTCTATAGCCTACTTGGAAGTTTTTAGCCAAAACAACCAGCCAATTAACAATCTTCATGAAACATTATAGCCTAACCGTTTTAGATCAGTTGTACAAACAGAACTATAAAAATGGAATCTGAGATGTTTTACCAAAGATAATATCCAATTTAATCGTAAAAAACTAAGTTTGACTTACACATTTCTAAATATGAGGTAATTGCCAGTGACAAACTGAGGTTTATTAAGAGGCATTTTTTATTTATTTAATTATCTACTGGGCAGGTTTTACTGGATTGGATAAAATAAACTGGAGGGGGGGGGAACTCCAGTATGAGGGACAAAACATGACTAAAGTATAAATAAATAAATGTTGGGAGAAATGCATACAATAATGTATAAATAATTAATTAAATAAATGCATCAATAAATATATAAATAAATATATATATATATAAATAAATGCAACAATTCATATAAAAAAATAATATATAAATAAATATATTCAGATATTTATTTATGTATGTCTGTGTCCTTGTTGTACAAGGAAAAGTAAATATGTAAATTAAGTGGGCCGTCCTAACATTACTGAAGTAGGATTGGTCAATTTTGAAAAACAGACAGAAGCAAATTTACATAAATACTTTTCCTCTTACGACCTGGACACAGAAATAAATAGACGTGTAAATGTAAAAATACGGGAATAAATTGTGGAAATGTATGCATTGATACATATATAACTGTAGAAATACGCTAATAAATGAATAAATACATGTAAAAAATATAAAAATAGCCTTTTTCATTAACAAAGTGCATTTATTATTTATTCATTGATGTATTGTTGCCAGCATTCATATATTTATTTATTGATGCATTTATTTAATTATTTATTTATTTATACATTATTGTATGCATTTCTCCCAACATTTATTTATTTATTTATACTTTAGTCATTTTTTGTCCCTCATACTCCAGTCATACTGTACTTAAAAGGCTTCAGGCCTCAAAGGTAGGAAGACTTCCAACTGCATTCATTAATGGAGTTGTTTTCATTGTCTTCTTGGCGCTGCCAGGGTGAATATTTGCAGTTTTAAACCAGCTTTATTTGCAGTAACAGGTCGCTACTAAAAAAAAAAAAAAAATCGGATACTCAAAAAGTTCGACCGCCAAAACTAAACTTACCAGCTGACGTCATCACTCGTGGTATTAACTCAACTGCACATACGGATGTGTTCAGCTCCATCGATCGGCGACAGTAATCAATACTACAGTAACATTACTGTGCACAAGGTAAGGGTTAGGGTACTTTATACCATAAAATATAAAGACATAATATAATATAATAAATAAAATATACCATATATAACCCTATATAACGACTATCCTAAATTAGCTAAAGGTAGCAAGCGAGACAACACGAGTTTTCCCCGAAATTATACTTATTAAAACCCGGTTTACGTTTATTCCTCTTGGTGTTTGAATCGTTATTGAGGCAGTTCATGCATTTTAAAGTTAATATAAATAAGTCAATTGCTGTCTCTTGCCACCTTCCTCTCTAAATTTATTAAGTTGGCTCAAAATATTACATTAAAAAATGATGCAGAAAGCAGATAAAGATACTTTAGCGCCCAACACTGTCTACATCAGGGGTGGGGCAACTGGCGGCCCGGGGGCCACATGCGGCCCCCCATCAACCCTCAACGTGGCCCCTCAGGTCAATTCTTTACACTTCAATTAATTGGAAACATGAAGAAAACATGATGAAATCTGCCATGAAATCATGAAAACCAGATATATGTTCATAATAATATTTGATCACTGGTATATGTGGAGTTAAATTGAGACTGTAATCGTTTAATTTGGCCCTCTGGCAGTGAGAATTACATGAATGTGGCCCTTTCTGTGACCAAAGTTGCCCATCCCTGGTCTACATAAAGAATACTTTCAACTTTTAAGTATCTGAATCTGTTTTGCTCTATTTTTATGTTTTCAATGTTTGTATGTCATTTTCAATTGGGGTAAATTTTATTTGTGATAGTAAATATTCTTACTTTGTTATTTTTTTCCACTGTATTTTATTTTAACTTTGTTTAATCTCTTAAGGTGAGGTTTTGAGATAAGCCCTCATGGGTTTCTACCTCACCTGCACATGTGTTTTATTTTATTTTATTTTTTTATTTTCTGTTTGATTCGTCTTTCGAAAAATGTGCAAATAAACTAAACTAATTAAAGTCGCTACCTTTACTAATACTTTATGGAGGACATCAGTAGTTTTAGTACTGCAGCTTAGTGATCTGCTCTTTAATCCTTACAGATTTAAGCAGGTATTTATTTCGCATTTAATTCCCATCATGTGAAGTGGGGCTGATGTGGACACAAACCTTTTTTGTTCTCACGCATTTAAGTAAGTTAGACGATTAAGTGGTGACAGGTTATAGATAAAGCAACCAAACTGAATCAGGAATTATCATACAGGCATATAGACAATCGGGATATCTACCTTCATATAAACTGCAGAAAAATTCTGTGTTAGACAAAAGTAGTATGTCCTCTCAGCCAATCAGTTTTGTGTCTTTTTTTATCATCACAGATAATGAGGAATACGCAGACAGCCGATGGAGGACCCCCCATTGTCAGACAAAACACACCTGATGCTCCTGCAGAGACTCTGTCTGAAATCAACAGTATCCCAATGAGCTTCACTATGAACCAGAGCATAGCCATTTGTCTGCCTGTGGTCTCTGATAGTCAGAGGCTTATATGGGTTCACTCAAACCAGATGGAACAAAATCTGGAAGCTGCTGCAGAGCTGGGTAAGGCGTTTGATAAATTTCCATACCTCACACAGAAACAGACAGCTGCACTAGCTGGGCGATGCTCCCTGCACCCTGACCATGTGAAGGTGTGGTTCATGGTCCAGAGGCTCCGCTTTGGCATCAGCTGGGACTATAGAGACATCCGGATGGTTCGGAACCAGTTCAAGTCAAATCAGGGGAAGAAAAAAGAGGAAAAAACTGACGGTGGAGAGAAAAAAACACGAAAAGTGGACGATAAAAAGTCTGGTGGAAACAAGGTGAGGAGAAAGTTGAGTAAGGAACAAAGTTCAATCGAGGGAGGGATGGTGGGAGAGAATGTGAGGGCTTATGAACAAATGGAGAAAAACATGAAGCTGGAGCAACAAATGAAGAAAGAGAAGGATGGAAAAGTCAAGGAAGACGAAAAGGGTACTCGGAGAAAGCGGAAAAGGAGGAAAGTGACGGCCAAGATGGGAGAGACACAAATAAAGCAAGGGAATAGATATGAGGGGACGAGATGTTGGCCATTCAACAGCTTTGACGAGCCTTCCCTCGCTGACAGCCAATCAGAACCACTGAAGAGAGTTGACCCTAACCCCTCTTCCACCCTAAATGCTCATGACACTACTGGAAAAACAACAATGTCGGCTAAGCTGGAGGAAGAAGAGCATGCAAAGTCATCAAACCCCGGTGATACTGTCACTGATGTTGACAAACTCAAGGTGCTCATTGATGCGAATGACAATCCAATTATGGATCAACATGCTGAAGAAAAGGTCACACTTCCCGCTAAGATCCGCTGCCCTGCAAAGACGCAGACTCAGGTGGAGATGATGAGGATGGCTTTCCTGCATTGCCAGTATCCAGACAGCAATGAGTACGAGCATTTGTCCTTGCTGATTGGCATCCCCCGCTATCTGTTGGTTCAGTGGTATGGTGACACGCGCTATCTCATCAAGAAGAGAAGGCCACGCTGGATGAGTGAGGAGCAGCACTGCCGGACGCTGGCCAACGTCAAGTACAGGCAGTACCAGAAGAAGTTGGAGAGGTTGCAGAAAGAGAGCCCCGAAAAATAATACAGAAGCCTGAGCTTGACGGGGGTGCGACCTGTGGTGAGGAAACAGGTGAGCGAGGGCCTACAGAGTCACCGTGATTCAAGAGTCTCATATCTCGACAATTTCATCATGTTTTTCAAAACTATTTTTAAGACCTATGATCTGCGTTTTGTTTGTTTTGAATTCAAGAAGTCTATTTTACAACAAAAAATATTTGAAAAGAAGTTTTCTAAGTTGGACGCATGTTATTGTGATCTGCTTCGCGTGGAGTGTTTTGTTCTGATCACGGTTATTTTGATTACTGATACTCTTCATCGAAAAAGTCCCCTTTGTTCTTTCAAGTTGTTTTTATTGTCATCCGTGTAAAATATTCAATTTCCATGTTTGAACCGGACTCTTTTTGTTATACGCTTATTCAAAACATTCAAAGACTAAAGAAATGAGAGAAAGAAGTGTTCCAGATCAAACAGACACATTATATCAGGAGTTTATTATCAACTGTAGAGACGTTGCATAATCCACACAAAATTAACAAAAATATAGTTCAATTCTTGTGTATGTTTTATAGAATATGTTGCACGTCAGCACAAAAAGTGCAATGTAAGCTATGACAGTCGTTCTCCTGTTATCCAGCAGCATTGCTAACTATGTCTGACACTCACGCCTTAATTGCAAGAAGGGTACACTACAGGAACACTACTATGTTCGGTGGTTATCAACTGGTGGTTCGGGACCCAAAAGTGGGTCGCGAGTGTGAGCCAGGAGAAGAAAATTGTGTGAAAAAGTCAGTGAAGCCCTTTTTTAAACATGTTTGTTTTGTTCCGTTGTCTTGTTCTGTCACATGTTCACTACTGTCTGGGGTCTGCGTTTGCGTTTTTTCATTAAATAAATCTAATTGGTTGAATAATAACAGAGATTTGAGTCGTGATTGTTCATGAAGGAGTTGGTGGTGGGTCCTGAGGCTCGACCAGTGGAGATCCCCTGGTTTATACTACAGCTACATGGATCTCTCTCTCTGCTCCATCAGTTCCATCTGGCTGTGTACTCGGTCCTCTGCGGCTGCCAAAGCTCGGCCCCCTCGATGATACGGCGGATCATGGAGGCAGAGGTGATAAGCAGGTGTCCAGCAGCTGCGAGGAGGGCGGAGGCCACACGGAGGGTTTCTCTGAAAAAAAAAAAAAAAAAAGATACAGAGTAATCAGTGTGATATGTAAGGAGACTTTTAATCCCTGGCACTGTGTGCTGTCTTTAGACTTGCTGCTGCCATTTCATTCAAGCTAATTTATTTTATGTACAACTAATTGTGTCACTTAATCTTTGAACAGAAAAGAAATGTAAGGTTGGATCGACAGAGGATGTTTTTTAAAGTTAGGGGTCCATGTGTGCGGCTGATGTTACACCACATTACATGCAATACTTCTGCTTTTTTACTTCACCACATTCGTTTGACAGCAGTCACCAACTAGGAAGCAAAAACAGATGCTTCCTAGTTGGTGATCTGTCATCTTGGATTTTTTTTCCAGCTGACTAAAGAGATGTTTCCTGTTGAAACTTACCAGAAATCTTTTCTTTTTTTTTCAAACCGTAAAGGCTCAAATGAGGTCAAATAAGCCAGTCATTACTAATGTTAAACGGTTTCCATGTTATTGTTTTCATAGCTGATGGGTTTTATTGATGAAGGCTGATATCTTATGACTTCCACCTTTGATAAACGAGCAATGTAAGATTGAAGTGTTCTCGATAATAAAGTTAACGAGGGAGATAGCAATGTTTCTTGATCCCTGCCAGTCAAGTGATTTCTTACAAAAAAAAAAGAAGGAGGACCTTTAAAATCTATTCTGATGATACAGGAAGCCAGGGCAGAGCAGCTGATACCAAAATAATACGATCATGCCGGGTTATATTTTCCAGAAGGCAAACTGGCATGCAATAAAGGAATATAAATCTTTTGGCTCTACAAAAATGTACAGAAGCATTGTTTTAGATAAACATTTTTGTTTTTAAACCTTGACATGAGCTTGAATCTTGACCTGATCTGAGATTGAACCTGGGGAGTTCATTTGTCTGCTTTATTAATCAGGATTTGTTTGTCACAGTGGGTGTTTTTTTTCTTCTGCCGAACGAGGACTCTTAATCTCCTTTAAGTAGCTTCTCTGTTGTGTTTTCCCCCCCTCAGCTTACCTGAGGATCTTCTTAGGTCCCAGACACTGAAAGTCAGCGCTCACAGAGTACAGGCCTTGAAATGTGGCCTTCACACTCAGGGAACCAAAGAGGTCTTTGGGGCTCATCCTGTAAAGGTCAAAGGTGACACGAGCTATGTCTTTCCCGGTCCTCGGCTTGTTGTGGTCTTGAGATTTGGACACGACTGCACCCTGTGGAATAGAAGACAAATTCAAAACGTCTGTTATGGATTCAATGCCATCAGAGTGAATCATGGAAAAACAAGCCCATTAGATGAATTCATGATGAATTATATTTCACTTTTTGGTCAAACATACAGATGGTGGTCTCCATGTCTGTCCGGGCTCCAGGGCCATGAGCATGGTGTTGTCTGGCAGGGTTATGAGGAACTCATCAGAGTCCACCTCTGTGCCGTCATCCTCACAAACCAGAGACAGAGACACTGCAGACAGGGACAGCAGCAACGCCTGGCACACCTGAGGCACAGATCAAAGTTGCACTGAAGACACATAAGCCTTACTTAATCTGGTCTTGAATTTGATTTGCTCTGTGTATAAAATTAGATCAAAGGGGTTTCTGAAGTGGAAAACAACTTCAGTGTAGGACTTTTAAAGATCATTTTAAAGCACCTAGCTGTCGGTTCACAGTCCTGTCAATGAGTAGGAACATGGTCCAACAATCACAAATTAAATATACAGAACTTTGGATATTTCTTTCACTTTTTTTTTGTCCTTCCAATCATCTGTTGAATTCAAATCATTCACTAACATGACCTACAACCAGATCGAATTATTGGATGGATTAACCAATTCAAATGTTATTATCTGAGTTAGTCAAAGATCTAGTTTAAAGATGTGTCCTCCGTCTTTACAGGCTGTAACTACATATTACTAATGTTTCTGTCTTTAGCAGGAAAAGACACGTATCTGAGTCCTTATATTTGAGACTAATAATACTCTAGATGGTCTTTTTTGAGGGATACGATTTCAAGACATTTTAAAGACCTGCAGATAAAATTTTCTGTCGTAATTTACTGATAACTCATCATTGATTGACTCATGACGACATGGGGTCCCACATATCAAATTATCTAAGACTCTGATTATGAAACTACTAATACTACAATGACTAAAATAATATGACCTTTTCTTCTCTTCTTTCCTTTCTCACAGTCACTCTCACCCTCTCTTTCAGCTCCTCCAGGGTCCCCGCTGTGATGCCCTTCCTCGTCTCCCTGTTGTGAGCACAAACTCTGAAAGGACGCTGGGGTGGAGACCATACTCGCTTAGTCACAGATCTGAGAAAAAAAAAAGAAGAAGGGGAAGGATGGTAATGGGTTCTTTAATGGTTTTTGAACCTCTGATGTTTCAACTTGTCCAAGTAGAAAAGCCCAGATGTTGCTCTAACTAATAACATTGTATCAGTGTGTTAAAATAAGCTGTCTGTCTAAAAGAGCATCACATATCAAAGCATTAAGTTAAAAGAATATTCACTTTGTGGCCTGCTTAACATCCAACAGCCACACTATCTTGTTTGTGTTGTCGCTCAAACGAACGGCTAACAAGACAAATCAATACAATATCAACCCTACAAAACTGATTTCCCACTTACTTGATAAATGATGATGTGGAATCCATGCTTGTCAGTTTCTTGGTGTCCCTTTTCAGTGAGTTATTCGTGAGTCTTTTGTTGTTGTTTAGTGTAGCGAATTGTGATGTTATGTCAGTGCGTCTGGTGTTTGACCCAGCAGCTGGACTTTGTTACTAACCTGGTGATAACTCAGATACAAAACAGTAGAGGGCAAAGTTCATCTAGTCTCTGAATGTGCTGGGGGAGCAATAGTCATCCCGTCTTTATCTGATAACAGATTTCTATTAAATAATATAGTCTGACTGATTTGGCTTATTTGGGGTTGGTACCAACATTGATAATGAGGAGTGTAAAATAAGAGTTTTTGTAGAAACATATCACACAAATTAATAGTTTTATATTTATTTTCTATTTTGAGATCTGTGACCTAAATGTGTTCTGACATTCTGCAGTAATATTCTCCGGTGAACGAACCATGCAAAAGTATTAAATAGCTAATGTTTCACAATGTCTTCAGCTGGGTAAAAAGGATTCAGATAAATACATAAACCTAAGTAAAAGTTGCACGTGGAAAATAAAAATACATTATCATTAAAATATATTAAAAGTACCAAAATGAAGATACTCATTATGCAGAACTGCCCCATACAGAATAATTAATATAATTCAACATGATTTCATTTGTTGATGATTTAATGTGTTATCACGTCAATGTTTAAAGTAAAATTGAGCTCATTTTAATTAATTTAAGCTAGGTTTTATATCGAGTTCTCCCTGATGATGACGAAAAGATCAATTATATTGTAAAGTACTTTATTTATTGATTATGTTTTAAATTGCTCATGTCCTCAATATGCAAATGAACTAAGCTTTTGTCGAGTAAAATGTACAATAGGCCAACTTGACACTGAGATAGTAAAGTAGCCAAAACAATAATTACAGAAGGAGTACAAGAAAGTTTAAGTTGCAAATGAAGAACACTAATTTAGTAAATTGACCTACTTTTCATCACATTAATGATAAGGTTAGCTGCAACAAGCATTAGTGGGTAGCATGTATTTATACATTGTGTTTATATGGATTTTCAACACTAACATGTTACAAAATTAATTATTTTTTCACTTATTTTTCCACATACTGTGCAATATTTATTTTATATTTCTGCAATATTTTACATTTTATACTGTGCAATATTTATTTTATATTTCTGCAATATTTTACATTTCGATCTGTGCAATATTTATTTTATATTTCTGCAATATTTTACATTTCATACTGTGCAATATTTATTTTATATTTCTGCAATATTTTACATTTCGATCTGTGCAATATTTATTTTATATTTCTGCAATATTTTACATTTCCTACTGTGCAATATGTATTTTATATTTCTGCAATATTTTACATTTCATACTGTGCAATATTATTTTATATTTCTGCAATATTTTACATTTCATACTGTGCAATATTTATTTTATATTTCTGCAATATTTTACATTTCATACTGTGCAATATTTATTTTATATTTCTGCAATATCTATTTATATTCTGTTATGCTACCACCTGTAAATAACTCCTACCATACATTGTATGTGTGTGCACTTTAAGGTGAAGCCAAATCATTTCGTTGTACACTTGTATAATGACAATGAAGACATTCTATTCTATTCTAAAAGTTACAGTATCACATCGCTTGGTTGATATATTTTTTATGTTTCGGAACTTTTGTGTTCAAAGTCTTACATTTTCGCTGTTTTATATTGTTTAATCGAGGCGGGAGCAACCGCTGTCGGATCTCCAACGTCACATCCGGGAAGCTACGTTGGGTGCGCTTGTTGAAAACACCACAGCGTGCGCGTTGACGGGGCTTCTATGTGTGTTCTATTCCAAATGCGCTAAGCACCGCCACTCCGGGACGCGCCGACGCCATGATCTAAACTACCAATTAAATTCCAGTGAAGGCGGGAGGATGAAGAAGCAGAACTTTTTGATAGACGTGTTGCTAGCTTTGTTTTCTGAAGTGTAAACAAAAACAGCGACTCTGGCGACCGGTAGCTGCCTCCAGACGTCTTAAACCGTCTTTTGATTAAGTTTCCCGGGATGCCAGCTTTGGGATGTGTACTGGCGAAGCAGTCTTAGCTTAAATTTCCTCTCGTCATAATTTGGTTATTTAACCTGCTTTACGTTAACTTAGCTTCAGACTGACTCAGTGGGATGGCAGCAAAAAAAACAGAGGGAATTAGTAAGTATAAATACCTGTTACTTAATAAATCATTTAATAATATATGAATAATAAACAAGTAGCTGAACTGGTTGTTTTGCCAGCTGATGGGATGCTCCTCCCTGCATCACTGACTGCAACATTTCACGTCAACACAGTCAATCTGTGCAGACATGCAGTTCTCCAAACCCTGTGTTTAGATAAGTCAAACCATGTGTATGCATCTTCATTGTTTTTCCTCTCCTGCACAGGTGCCAGCCTCCCCTTCGCTGCCCTCCAGCTGCTGGCCCCGCCTGTGAGACTGGTCTCTGCAGCCCTGTGGAAAGTGATGAAGCAGAGGGACGTGACGCAGTACGGGGTCTTGGAGGAGTTTGTGACGTCAGCCTGCGAGACCGTCCCGGGGCTTCTCACGGCGAGACACCAGGGCAAGCTGGCTCTGGGTCTGAGGGGACGGGTGAGACGAGAAATCAGATTGATCCCTGGCTTACATATAAAGTCTGCTGTCATTGTGTAACCTGATAGGCTTTAAGAGGATCCATTATTGCTGCTACTTTTATTCCATTGTTAGGTTATGGTGATGTACTGTACATGTATCTGTAAATCACTCACCCATCATTGCACCCTGTACTCTAAAGTAGGCTGGCTGTCCCCGTCGGCTCGTAGGCTTCTTCACTGCTATTACTGGACTACTCCCTTCACACCTCTGCACCTCCCTCACTTTCACATCAAAATCCATCGTACAGTTTTGCGCTCTCTGGACTTTCTGTCTACGTCAGTCCCCAGAACTCGTACTGAGTTTGGGAAGAGGGCCTTCATGCGCTCTGCTCCCGCCGCATGGAACAACCTTAAAAAAAAAACCACTCAGATTGCAGGAACTCATCACTATTAATGATTTTAAAAATCGGCTCACAGGTTGTTTTTTTTTAAAGGCGAATTTTGGAGTGTGTAAATGTTTCACTGCATAGTATTTTATCATCATCACATAATTGTTCTTTTATTCTGTGTTGTGGTGTTGTGCTTTGTTTTTGTTTAACATGATCGTCTCCTCCTCCTCCTCCTCCTCCTCCTCCTCCTCTTCTTCTTCTTCACCTTCTGGACTGCATTTGTCTCTTTTTCTCATGTCTGTGCTTTCTTTTTGGGTTTGTCTTATATTTCTTTTCTTTTTTTTTGCTGCTGCTGCTGCCATTTTGGCCAGGCCTTGCTCGAAAAAGAGGTCATTTGATCTCAAGCAATTCTGCCTGGTAAAATAAAGGTTAAATTAAATAAATAAATGAAACTTCAGATTAACCTCCATTTCTGTTTCTTCTCAGTACATCTTGGAGCTGTGTTCTACACAACTGGATGAAAAAGTGATAATGCCAAATCTGGAGAGGATCCGTGCTCCTGCTGGCCTGTCGCTCTCCACCGCTGCCACCTTGGTAAATAAGACTTCAAGATCTTTAATCATATGACATCTTGACGTGGACTTTATCCCAAAGAAAGACTGCACCACATTATTCCATCTTGGTATAACTAAATACACACTGATATTGGGTTTCGTGTTAAAGAATTTTATTTGTTTTCAGAAGTATGTTGTGATTGGTACAAATGTTAATACAAGTGTTCTCAAGGGCGGTTTTGCTATTTTGTCTTCTAGAAGAGGGATGTCAAAATTGTAAAAACAGTGGAAAGTTTCCATTCGTTGGTTCACACGCTGATTACGGACGCAGCAGAGAGAGAGCACTTCTTCAAGGTGAGTCAACCACACAGCGAGCAACTAATGATTTTCATTTTGAAGTGACTTTTTCTTTTAAAACATAATGAACAATATACATCATTAACACCCAAATAACCGGTCAGCTCAATGACAGAGAGGTCTGTACAGAAAGGAGGGACATAAGTGAATAAGAAATGTCAAATTTAACTCCACAAGAGGAGAGTTAACATATATGGTTCTATGTTTTACCATTTATGGTTAGAAGTGATTGGTTAAGGTGATACCATCGTGTGTCTGAGGTGCTGTGGTGTTGTAGTCAAGCCAACACCAAGACATTTAGGGATCGGGACCAAGTCAAGACCAAGGCAGGGCGAGACTGAGACAAGACCAAGATCATAAATACCACTGAAAAATCCTCAAAAAAAAATCATCTCATGTCACTCGCTTAGAACCGTAACACTGTGAAGGTTGTGGCCGTAACCAGACGATAAAATTCTAATTCTGAATGAGTAGAAGTTATCTGTTCTTTTAGAAAGAGGTGTTTTTATTCTCATTACAGTAATGACGTGAAAAAAATAGCCAATCAATGGTGGTCTCGATTCAAAATCCGGAGTCTGTCCAGTCTGAGACCGAGACAAGATCGAGTAAAAATACTTACGATTCCCAGACCTTCAAAAAGTGGCCTCAAGACCAAGACACATTTCAAGTGATGCAACACGAGACTGAGGTGCAACATGACAAACATATAAGGCCAGATGAGAGTGCATTTTTTTTAACATATAAAACTGCATTTCTCTTTAAATTCTTGAAACGAATATAGAAGACTGGTTGTTTTACAAGTAAAACGTTCAAATGTCTATACCTCTCTCTCCTGACAGGAGGAGTTTCCCGTGGATTATGGTCCGGCGTTCGACCAGGAGCTGGAGAAGCTGCTGTGGGAGTTTTTGATCCGATTGGACCAGCTGCTTCCAGTACCCAACCTCTCTCAGGTAGACGGCGCTTTTGATTCGACTGATGTTATAGCTGACGAAAGTGGTTATGAATGAAATCGTTTGTGAGAGAAAATCTGATTATACCAGAACACATTTTTCTTCAGACTGTGTCGTGGCTCAGCGATGCCCCCCCCGTCCTGGAGGAGTGTGCACAGGCGGCCACCCAACCCCAGCTCCTCAAAATATTGCTGCAGCATCAAACCTGTCTGGGGCATCTGGAGACTGCAGGTAGAACCTTCTCGCCACACACACGCTAGGATGACCTTTAACCGTTTTCTGATTCATCGTCATGATCTGCGTTTTTTGTCGTTTACAGCCTCCCTCCCTCCAAACATGGGAGACTCCATCCTGGACTCACTCTCTCTGCCTCTCTCCGGAAGAGTCCCTTCCAAACAAATAACGGGAGCAAAATCGGCTCCTGGCGGCACACAAACGCATCATAAAACACCGTTCACTACACCTGTTTTTGGATTTATGTCGACGAAAGATGTCCCAGTTATGATGTCCGCCAATAAGAGGACGCTAGGAGGGGAGGGGCCAGCCTCTTCCAAAGATGAGCTCTCGAAGTTCACGGTGGTCAAACAGATGGAAGAAGAAGAAGAAGAAGAAGAGGAGGAGAAAAGAGGTGTTGGAGTGAAACGGAAGCTGGATGTGAAAACGCTGCACCTACCTGATGATGCATCCACCCGCTCCGCTTTGGTCTTGTGTATGAGCAGCAGGCCCCGGGTTGTTGTCGAAAAACTGCCCGATAGCGTCGCTTACACAACCAGCAGAGGAGGGAAGTCTTCAAACGTGACGACGCGGAGTCAGAGGAGGAAGTCGCCGGTGAACGCTCCAACGTGTAAAAACCTGAGCAGCCACCCTGTAAAGCCCGATTTGGATTATCCTGGCCCGGGCGACAAAGAGTAAGGAACAGTAGGGAACAGTTTGTATTACAAGAACTCTGCCACTAGCTTTTAAAAAAAATGATTTTGTGAATGAGATTTTTCCTGGATGGATTTGATTGTTACGAGATTGACTTTGGTTACGTGGCAGAATGGAGACATTTTAAGTTGAACACATTTTCAACGACGCCTCACGCACGTTGTCTTTGATGTGGCTCGTAATCTTCAAAAGAAAAAAAAAAAAAAAAACTTAATTTAGCACAAAGTTTCTGGTTTCGTTTGACTTTTCTTTCTTACTTTAGATCAGTTCTCAACTCGTCTTGCCTCAGGGCCGATCACCAACTCCTCCAGGAAAAATAAAAAAAGATTCATTTACTGAAACATTTTGCAGTTTGGACAAAAACATGTGACAGAAGCAAGAAACTGCTCAAAACAAACATGATTAAAAGCGCTTCGCTGGCTTTTCTACACAAGTTTTTTTTTTTCTCCAGGCAAACTTTTGCGACCAACCTCTGGGTCCCCCACCCACCAGTTGAGAACCACTGCTTTAGATATTAAAAAAAAAAAAAAAAAAAGTGCACTCTCTTGTCCTTTAAAAAAATGCAGCTCCACTTAGATGAAAACATCCTTTGACTATTTTTATCTTGAGGATATCAGTGAGCAACTTGACAGAACTTCACTGTTTTGTTTCTACAGAAATCATCCTGTGAAAAGTGAGAGCAGCTCTCCCTCCAGGCAAAGAAGTACCACAGGTGATTAGAACAAATCTTTCACATGAAACAAATGCCATTAAAAGATATGTATTCACATCATTTTAACTCTTCTCCGTTCATTTTGGTGTTAAGAGTCGGCCGCTCTTTCAGGAGACGCCGATGACTTCGTCGCTGATTCAGAGGATGAGGCCACAAAGAACTTCAAAGTCAGGGTATGTATTCAAAAAGAAGGCGGGAGATATTTCTTCATTTCTTTTTAAATACATTCTTTACAGACAGTCTTTAAAAGCTCCAGGGAGGATTGTTTTATCTGCCCTTCTGAACTACATTATGGAACAAAACCACCATGAAGACGAGTGATACTGTAGCTACAGTCAGTGCACGCTAAACGTTCCTCCCTGGAGCTTCATTTGATTTAGCCCAATGACAGCTGTGTTCTGCTCCTGCGACCCCGAAAGGGAAAAGTGATAAATGGATGGCTGGATGTATTGAAAAAGCCCCACACGTCAGTGAATGTACCTGTTCTAACCGTCTCCGTCTCCCTCAGCTGTTCATGAAGCGCTACTACAAGACCAAACACGGCACGTATGTTCCCACGCTGAGGGAGTACCGCAAACCCGGCATGACCCAGCGCCGCTTGTCCTTGTCTCCCAGGAAACGTAGATGAGGAAACAGACTCCTCACCTGAGGTTGTAAAGTGCTGCACCGATTACTGCCGTTTGTTTGTTTTCATGTCTCTCTCTCTCTCTGGATGTTTTTCTGCATGTCATCAGTTTAAAACTTGAACAAGTGCTTCGTCATCATGGAGACATAAAGCATTGTTACTGATTATTGGCACTTCCATTGTTTCTGTATAGTTTGCTTGTAAATGAAGACATATGATACATGAAGTATGTTAAGAAATCAGTGACTTTAATAATTAATTTAAATCTACATTGTGTTATACGCTCAGTTAATAAAGGGTTTTTTTTAAATCTCAGTTGTGTTTTGCGTGACAAAGCGTCACTTTGTACTTTATTTTGCGTTTCATGAAATCAAATCTGATCTTGTTTAACTAACCTGATTAATGCACATAGATACATTAGACTGTAATTGTATATTTTTCAATTTTATTATGATCCTTCAAAGATAAAAATGTTTGATTCAAGTACGTTTTCGATCATTCTGCCGTCAAACAGTGACTGAAGATCATTAAAAATAAAACATCCCGTTTATTTAGAAATCAGCTTATCACATAAAATGTAAAAAATAACATCACAGTTGATACTTCCTGTTACTGTACACAGATATTTGGAAAAACTAATTATACATTTTTGTTTTTTGTAGTATTCAAAATCGGTCTTGGTCTCAAGACCACTTTTTGAAGGTCTCGGTCTCGGACTGGGCTGAGTGAGTCAGGATTTTAAATCAAGACCTCCACTGTGATCAGAAGGAAAACGCCTCTTTCTAAAAGAACACGTATCTTCAATTCATTCGCAGTTTGATTTGTATCCCACGGTTACGGCAGCAACATTCCCATGAGTGTCACTCCCGCTGCACACAAGATGAGGATTCTTCAGTGGTATTTATGGTCTTGGTCTTGACTTGGTCTCGATCCCTTAACGTCTCGGTCTTTGAGCGCTCCGGTCTCGGGTAAGTCTTGGTCTTGGTTAGTGTGGTCTTGACTACAACACTACATCTTCAAAGAAACACAATCATCTGCCAGTATCAATAAACAGGAGTGGAACCGATCAAGTGCCCTTTTAATGGTTTTGTTGGGGACTGCTCAGAGTCGACAGCCGATCCCTCCAGTAGCTGTGACGGTTTCTCCCGTGATGTAAGAAGCCTCGTCAGTGCACAGGAAGGCGATCACTCCTCCGATCTCCTCTGGTTCTCCGACTCTGCAGGGAAAAGACGAAGAAGCGTATTTTATATAGTCCTTATTAAGATCACTCTTATAAACTGTATATGTGCATATTAGTTTCAAACTTCCCTGGGTGTGTGTGTGTGTGTGTTACCTTTTAATACTCATATTCTGTTTGAAACCATCCATGATGTCTTCATTCTTCCATAACTGGGAAATGACATTTACGGGTGTAATGTTAATGTATAAGTAAATGATTCAGGGGGCAACATGTTGTCGATACAGGATTTGAATACATGAAGCAAAAAGAAAAGTTGTTTTCCTCACCGAGGAGCTAAAGCGTGTCTTGATGACTCCGGGGGCCACGCAGTTGACTCGTATGTTTTCTTGGGCCAGCTCAGGAGCCAGAGCCCGGGTCAGACCCAGCAGAGCTGTCTTACTCACGCTGTAAGCACCGAGACCCTGCAGACACAGAGACATGGGGTCAGTAACATGCACAGAGTGCTGCTTCTGTGTGAAATTCATCTCTGTTTATCACGTCACAGTTGTGTAAAACTGGAAGATACATTTGTTTAAACCTAATAGTGGACTCGCACTGACCGGCATCGGTTGGTATCCCGCCACAGAAGACACAAACACCACGTTACCACCTCTAAAACACAAGCACAGACTCATTAAAGCACAAGCATTAAAAAGACCAGTGAGACGTGTTTGGATTGAATCTTCCTGAGACTAATGATTGTATTTATCTCATCTTTTAGATTGTCACTCACCCTCTCTGGGCCATGTGAGGCACCACCAGCTTCGTCATGAGGAATGCTGATTTCACATTTACAGCCATGATCTAGAAAGACATGAAGAAACTGTAAGGCTATTTATAATGGTGTTTTTTTCCCCCTTCAAAATAAGGTTATCCAATAATAATAAAAAAATCCTGTATTAGAATAAAAGACAGGGCATCAATTTCAGAGTTCTTTATACTCTCCAGATATTTGATTAGTTTTTCTCTCTACCTTGTCCCAAACTTCCTCTGATGTGTCCATTATGTTTCCAAAGAACGGATTGACCGCTGCGTTTGATACCAGGATATCGATCCCCCCGCACTGATCCAGAGTCTGTTCCAAACACAGAATGAGTAATGGGGTTTCAAGTCCAAGCAATGACCTGACATTCTTTAATATGCAGTTGATGAAAAGAGAGAGAGAGAGAGAAAAAAAAAAGAATACTCACCAGCTGAACCAGTTTTTCTCTGTCTTCTTCCTTGCCAACATTGCAGGTGGTCCCGGTCACCTGGATGCTCTGGCTCTGCAGCAGAGCGACGGCTTGGTCCACGTTGGCCTGCCGCCGGCTGCTCACCACCACATGCGCTCCCCTCTTTCCCAGAGCCTGAGCTGCAGCCAGGCCGATTCTGAGGCCGAGGACAGAGAGAGAAGAACTGTCAGTGACGGAGGAGGACGTATTCGTCTTTGTAAGTTTGCAAAGTAACTAAAGCTGTCAGATAAAATAACATTTACCTCTAAACTGTGGAGCAGAAGAAAAAAAAAAGAGCTGATTCTTAAAGTACAGGTACCTCAAATTTGTAGTAGAGTGATTAAAGGTAATACATTGCGTTAAATTTACAAATTATCCCTGCACTCATGTTCACTTCATTTGTCCGTCTACTCGCCGTTATATTGTATAGTTTCTGCTTATAACACTCATGCACTTAACTTAGGTCAATACTGTCCATTTCCAACTCTGTTTTTGCACATTTACAATTAATCTTTCATATTTAATCTTCCTATTTAAGACTAGGAATGCTAAGTTAAATCCTGGTTGTATATATTCACATTCTTAGTTTTGATATTTTTAGTGCTTATTTACTTTGTATTTAATATTATATTGTGTTTAGATTTGCTAATATTGTGTTTTTTTACTCATATTGTGTGTTTGGATAACCTGCTGCTGTAACGCCACAATGTCCCAGTTTGGGATCAATAAAGTCATTTTATTCATTATTACTTGACCAACTGTTCTGTACATTGATAGAATCAAACTAAAATGTACAGATGCCCTTTGTAGGACAAGAAAAGCACAAAAAGACTGACAGCTGTACATTACACACCGGGGAATTGTATTCTGAACTATTTATTTCATACTGCTTAATCAGCACAGAGGATAACTGTTGCCTTAGGGTACTTTTGTGTGTGCTTTAGTGTGATGTGGAGTAAATGAAAAGTGTTATTCTTACCCATCTGTTGAGGCTGTGACTATGGCTATCTTTCCAGCAAGACTGCTCTGAGACATGCTCCTCTGTCCAGCGACAGGATTGGTCCTAAGGCACCTGTATACACTCCTCAACATCACCTGTGAACAGAAAAGTAGTCACGAATATTATTTTGGAAATGACATTTCTGGGTCACTAGGGCAAGGTCATCCTGAACCGGACAGCGGTTGTGCACGATCTGTTTGTTAAGACCGAGTCCGAATTTAAGTTGGGAATCGTTTTAGTTTTAAGGACTGATCGGTATTTGAAAAGGCAAAACGAGACGAGTTCAAGTTATGCAAATATGTTTGTACACTTGTGTTGGCAACTAACAAAATTATGCAAACATGACACCAGGCATCTTCTCAACCTGCAGACAGTGCAACATTAAAAAATAAAATAAACAGAGGCAAATTGTCAAAGCACTTACAAAGTCAGCTACCTGGACCTTGGACTTTACAGACGATCAATGTTTTGCTTCTATCAGTAGGGTTTTTTTTCCGGGTAAAAGTCTTGCTGTCACAATAAAAGCCTCTCCTATTCAGCTCAGAGTAATTATTAAAAGTTGAATTTAAATTAACACTCAAGTCAGTCTACAATGTGCGACTGCGTAAAGGAAATTTGCTCTACTGTCTTATAATAATTGTACTTCGAATAAAATGTGTATTTATTGACAGATTTAAAGGTTATTTTTTCAAACTGCAGTATTACTGGACGTCCTTAAACGCAACCCGCAAAAAAAAAACACAGCCAATCACAGAGGTCGTGTGTTGCGGACTGCGGATGTTCATGCGATCTCACACACGCTGGATGGGTCTAAACTCATTCGTAATTGCTTGACGGTGCGTTTATGAATCAGTGGAAACGCATGGCGCACCTCCGAGGAGGGCGGAGATTACGTGTTGTCATCGCCGAAGATGATTGAACGGCCATGACCACAGATTTTCACGCCTGGAAAGAAGTGATTTTTTTTTTTTTTTTACGTATCACAGCCTGAACCCCGATGCGAAGTTTATCGGCGAAAAGACGAACAGAAAGGTACATTATTTAAAAAAAGAAAGCCGCATTGTGTTAATGTCATTTAGCATACAGATGAGGTTCAGCGGGGTTCACTCGGCATTGTTGTTTTGAACTGAACTTTAGCGTTAGCAGCGAAAGGGAAAGGCGATGAAGATAACCAACACAGCTAGCCTTATGTAGCCTTTAGCTTGCTCGCTGTGTCTGGGAACATCTCAGACAAGTCATCTTCTAGCAAGGGCGGTGATTACAAGCTCAAACATTGACGATAGCGGGGACATATTACGCTTATTTATCGATGCTAAGCGAACCTTCGCTTTTCGCCGAGCGGGTTACGTTCACGTACCGCTACTGGGCGTGGAAAGAAGGAGAGACAGGTGTTGCCTCTGCTGCCTGCTTAGCGTTCATTTCACATGTGTCCTGTGTAACATACGAGTTGAGGTCGAGTCGTCAAACATTTCTCTTTTTTGTTTTGTTTTGGGATTGATTTCAGGCGCCCGGGCTTTGGAGATGTGTACTACCCCAGACCCAGCTGTGCCCCTGGACCGAGTCTGTCCGGCGACCCCCGCACATTCACGAGAACCAGAGCTGATTTAGATGAATGAGCCAAAAATGAAGAAGACTCTTGGGTTGTAGTTTCTCTGAGACGTCGCTGATACCCTTAAAACAATGTCTGTCTCCGTGAGTACAGTAAAACATTTTGTATTTATTTTGTAATATTTTACATGCATTTGAATAGTAATAGTAATTAAATAATTGCAATGAGTAATTTCTACATTCATGCACTTTAACTTAGGTCAGTACTGTCCATTTACAACTCTGTTTTTGCACGTTTACATTTAATCTTCCATATTTAATCTTCCTATTTAAGACTAGTAATGCTCAGTTAAATCCTGGTTGTATAGAGTCACATTCTTAGTTTTGATATTTTTAGTGCTTATTTACTTTGTATTTAGTATTGTATTATGTTTAGATTTGCTAATATTCTGTTTTTTTTACTCATCTTGTGTGTTTGGATAACCTGCTGCTGTAACGCCACAATGTCCCAGTTTGGGATCAATAAAGTCATTCTATTCTGTTCTATTCTATATAATGAAATCAAGGCTGCCCTGAAACTGAAAGATGGTTAATTTTTGCCATGCGTTTACTTCACTGCCGATGATCTCTCTCGGTCATTTTACGTGTATGTATTTTTTATGGGGATCCTCATTGCCTCCATTACTGTCCTAAGGGGGTCCCACATGGCTCAATGGAGCCCGGCTATCCCTAGGGGGTTGGTTTAGAAAATGAAAGGGGGCCTGACTCCTTGGCTTTGGGTTGGCAATTAAATCCTAAACAGCAAGGGACAGATGTGGCTCTCATCCCCTCCCCCCCCCCCCCCCCTCCCTCTCATCCCGCTCATTACCATTAAGCCGCTGTGTCCATTTGATCATTGATCCTCCCTAACTGTGCTCCCATCTCTCTGCTTTGTGATTGCTGACACAGCTGTGCATTTTTAAATATGGCATGATGCATTTAAATTTTAAAGTTTTTAGTACTGCCCCCCCCCCCCGCCCCCCCTCTTTCCTGTCCCTCTGTCTTCCACATGGACATTCACGAGATCTTCCCTATTCACTCCCATTCACTCTCTATTCAAAAGCTCAGAACAATCAACCTTTTTGTACCCCCCTGACTTGGCATTGCCATGTCAATGCACTCTTGTTTGTTTGTGTTGCAAAGATGTAAGACTCTAGTTAGTGCGAATCAAAGCTGTGGATTTAAAAAAAAACCAAAAAAAAAACTGGGAGAGTTGGTGTTTATCAATTCTACATTTCTCTCATCCTCTTTCTCAGACGGTTTTGGCAAAGGCGCTGTTCGACAACGCAGCGGAGAGCCCGGAGGAGCTGGCTTTCAGGAAAGGAGACATCCTAATGGTTCTCGAACAGGAGCAGAGCGGCGGGCCAGGCTGGTGGCTCTGCTCCCTTCACGGCAGACAGGGCATCGCCCCTGCCAACCGCCTTCGACTCCTCCAGACCGCCCCTCCTCCGGGCTCGGACCCCGGTCTTGGTCCCGCTGAGGACTCGGTCTACCTCACACCTGGACTGGCACGGACCGCTGTGAGCAGCAGTGCAGAGGACATAGATGGAGTGTACCGTTCTCCCCCTGCTGTGGGCGAGGGACGAGGAACTGGAGCTGCCTCCAGAACTGGGGAGCTACGCAGAGTGGAGGCTGGACGTCCGCGTTCGCATTCCAGCTCAGGCACACGACCCAGACCCGAATGGGATCTCGGGGTGGCGGGGCGTCCTCGCTCACCCTCTTTGAGAGGAAGAGGGACAGAAATGACTGGCACACTTTATCAGACTCCAGTTAGTCCAATGCCTCTAAGGCAACAGGGATCTCTCACGGCTTCAGAGTCCGTGTACCTCGCCCCCATTGGAGTACCCAGGGCGGCTGATGAACCAGAAGACACTACATATCTGGTCCCAAGAGAGACAATAGGACAGTCAGATGACTGTTACCTGGTGCCCAAAGGGACACCACTTGCAGGTGATGAAGTTTACCAATCCCCCACAGGAGGAGTCGTCTGCTCCAACGGCCCCTCGATGGTAAGCGGATCGTCTGGTACCCCAAAGCCCAAAGTCAGCCAGGACACTCCTGGGATGTACCAAACCCCCACCCCTGTTGGATCAAACCTTCACCGGACTCCAGCCACAGTTTTAGCCCACCAGCACCCATCGTCTTTATCCCCTGCCCAAGCATCTCCCAGACCTCTGCAGAAGGGAGTCTCCCCAAACCCTAATGTTTCCAGGGGAAAACCCGGCCTGGCCTGTCACCGAGGGTCCCCTTTGTTGGTAAGAGCGGGGCAGGGCAGAGTTCCCGGGTCGCCCAATTTTACCCGCAAACCGCCTCCACCAGCACCTCCGGTGAGGGGAGTCACCAGGAAGGACGCGCAACAAACACAAGCTGCACCAGCTGATTCTAACTCCGTGCCTACACCCTCGGCTCAAGTCTCCTCTGCGAGCCTGCTGCAGCAAGAAGCAGACAAACAGAGGACGGCCGCTCAGAATAAAGAGGAAAGGATGAATGGCCTGGAGAAGAGCAACAATGTGCAGAACAAAAAAGGAGAAAGTCAGGATTACTCAGACGATGTGGACGACCAGGTTTGTGACGGCCGTTGTTCTGATTTGGAAAGTGTTTTGTCAGCGTCTTTTCATGACTCGAGAATCATTTTTTTCTCCCGGTTAAGTTTGCATGTGAGGTGTATTTACATGTTGCCCGAGTTTCATCATCATGTTGGGACAAATATGCAAACGTGTGTGTCGACTGAGTCATGCAGTGATCATTTGATTTGTGTTGTTGTTGTTGTTGTTATGGTAGGTGTATGATACCCCTCCCAGTGGCAGGTGGCAGCGTCCTGTCCCGTCTGCCCTTGGGGACGACGACGGCATCTACGACACCCCTCGCAGTGTCCCACCGCAAGCGGACTCTGAGAATGAGGTAAAGAATCTCGCCTCTTTATGCAGCGACTGTTTTCTGAAAAAGAAAGAGGGGAAAGAAAGTGTGAAAATGACGATTTGTGGCGAAACGAGCGCGTCCGCATCAAGTCTGAACAAGTCAAAAGGGTTTCCGCAACAAGAGAAGACGATCAAACACTGTGTCACCGCTTCTTCCCACATTCTGCTCCCCCCCCCTCCTCCGAGGCGAGGCCACACCTGTCTCTGTCTGCCGTGGGAAGCCTGTCTATCCAGTCCAAATGCTGCAGCTATTTTCTCTCAGTCACACCCATCTGTCAGGGCCATTCCACGGCCATACCACCAACACCCCTCCCTCCCCCACCCAGCGGTCTCCCTGTCAGTGTTCCTTGAATATGAAGGCCAGCTGTTGGATTATTGTTTCCTGTTGGGTTGCTGCTACTGTTTTGTGGGCTCATTGCTTTAGTACTTAGGGGTTTAAGGGGACAAATCGGTCTTTTCTTAGTCCTCTCCAGTACTGTCACCCCTCCACATGCATGTCTAAAGTCATTAAAGAAACATTGACAGCATTCCCTCTTCGATCTCTCCCATTTGTAGGTGTACGATGTCCCCACCATCTCCCTAAATGGGTCCATATCCGATGTCCAGGCCGAGGAAGGTGATGACGAAGTATACAGTGTCCCCACGCTTCCGGGTGTTCCTCTGGGTCCCGGGGAGTCCATGACCAGCCTCCCCGGAGAGGAAGTCACCCAGGTCGCGCAGCTTTACCGAGTCCCTGGACCCGACAAACGCGCCAGCGGAGGAAGTCACAGAAGAGACTCTTCTGAGCCTGACTGCGGCATCTACGACATGCCCGCTTTGACTTCTGAAATCCTTCCTCACTCGCTGTCGTCCTCCTCCACCTCCACCCGCCGCCTCTCTGTTTCCAGCAACGGTTCGGGGGACGTGCAGTGGCGGGCGTCTCTCTCCAGCCTCATCCACTCTGTGCTGAGCGTGGCCTCCTGCCCGCCTTCTGCTCTGTCCTCTCGGGACCTGGCCACCTCACTGGCTGAAATCTTGTCCACCTGGAAAGCGAACCATTCGGACGATCCCCCGCCCCCTCTCCAGCAAGCGTGGGCTCGCCTGTCGGACCTTCTGCCGGCGTTATCCGCCGTCGGCAACGCTCCCCCGTCTGAAGGACTCTTGCTGCTGGTCCAACGCTCCCTCGAGGAGAGTGCCCTCCTCCTGCAGGCTCAGGGCCGCCCCCGTCTGCCTTCCCAAGATTCCTTGTCCCGCCGGCCGCTGCCCGCGCTTCCTGTGCCTGACGGGAAGTCCTCGGGAGGTGGGATGGGCTCCCGTAAAGGAAGCTGGATACAGGAGAGGCCCCTGCCCCCGACCCCTCAGCCTGCCTTCCCCTTACCTCCATCGACTGTGACATTGACAGTGGGGCCGGTCGATGGAGAAGACGACCCAAGCAATGAATATGCGGGGATCGGCTTGACCCCAATCCCTGCACCCGTACCTACTGGAGACAGTGTTGGATATGTCAAACTGCAGGTCAGTTTTTCATTGTTTAATCATAAAGAAATCTGCATGGAAATGAAGGAACGCACTGATCCCAAAAACGTATACCTGTGCTTCAGATTTAAACAAGGTATCCCATATAAGCATTTATCAATTAGCTGTAAATCTCACTGTGGAAAAGAGAGGGATGTGCTTTAATGATCAGGGCAACCACTAGCTTCATTTACCGGCTTACAAAACACCATCATTAATACACAGAGACCAAAAGTAGACACTTAAACCATCCTGAAGTTTCCAGGATTTAGAGACCGTTCCATCCCGTCCTCATCAGTCCTCCAAAACCAGGATTCAGGATTCTCTGTGCGTATATTCAATTATTCAAAAGGTGTTCTTAACTCATCGCTGAAGAGGTCAATGCGAAAAGAAAACGAGATTCATTCTCTACTCCTCCTTAATCGCACAGTTCACACAGTCTGTGTTCCTCCGGGATGTTTTTAAATCGGCCGACTTCAAGCGCGACTTCAAGGGAGAATTCCCGTTCTCAACCGAGCAACTCAAGACCTCTGACTCATTGATAAGTTTGCTTTAGCACAGGATTCAACAACGTAATCGTGCTTAACTTGAATATATGCCAGTGCATACATGTCGTGTTGTTTTATAGTCACAATCCAAATAAGTGTGGACAATATGAGTTCGTCCACGCTCACTCAAAACTTGAATGCGACACAGATCACCTAACTCAGTTGGCAGCGGAACAAGCCGATGGTTTGATGGACACAGGACATCGCAGAGGGCGTTTCTGTTGACACGCTAAGTGTTCAGCTTTCATCCCTCTGAACATCTGCGGTGTTTTCTTTCACCTCCTCATACATGGCATGTACGTTTATAGTGACAATACAATCAAGCATGGGCAGTTAGCATGTCTGTTGTAGCTTATTTCTCTGCATAATCTGATTTCTCTGTCTGTGTTGGTGTCATCCCTGTGGACGTTTGCAGTGCATTTTCTGGGACCTCTTCATACATGCAGTTTTATCATGACAATGCAGTTTGACACTGTCTGTAAATGTGTCTTTTAACATGCTAACTTGTTTCCACACCAGGGTAAACCTGAGCCCCCGCCTGACAGCCTGACTGAGCACGGACAAACTATCACTGCAGAGCTCAGGGTGAGTCTTTTTTTTTTTTTTTCCCTTTCTGAAGCTTTAATCCTCGGCTCCTACAATCCACAGGCCGAAGCGGTTTTTTTTTTGTTGTTGTTGTACAGAAACACATGCAAGCAAGTCTCCACAGATAAGTCATTGATTCCTGCTGTGCTCACTGTGCGCTCTGTTTACTAATGAGCACAGTGACTCATTAATCCAGCTCGCAGCAGCTCTTTGGCTCCTGATGCGCTCTACTCCCTATCATGTTTAACCGACACCACCTGATTTAATCTTACATTTAACCCCTGTCGATTTCTGTCCCATTGATTTGCACACACAGCCATCATACTTAGAGATTTGTTGTTTGTTATGTCAACGCTTCTATTTGTTCCTCAGATTTGCCAACAGTTGGAGAGGGGGGGAAAAAAAAACACCACACACACAAGCATTTTATAATCCTGATTCTGTCCCGTATTATCTCTTAAGTCAGTGTTACTCTCTGCTGCATGGGATTGAGGTCATGTTTTCTTATCATCCAGTCAGCGTTTCTTTCTGCTCCTTACAAGACTCCTTGGTTACGCCATAGCCTCCAACAAGAGGTCACTTGTAGATCTTAACAATCTGGTCTCACATAGAACCGAGGCATGCGGGACAAAAGGAGATAGAAAAGCACAGTCATTCTTTCAGCAGGGCCACACGCTGATGTACTCTATGTACATGTGTGGGTGTGTTTCACTTTTAAAGTTTAGGTTGAACTGTTCCTCTTGCGTTAAATGAACACAGCCTGAATTGTCGTTTTTAGAAAAATATATTTAGTAAACAAAGGGCTTTATAGAATGCTACCATCCAACATATGCTATCATCGTCAACCTTGTACCTAAATAAAAAAAAAAAAACACTTCATGACGTCCTGGCTTCATGCAAGTGTTGGTTAAAACGAACAGAAAAAAAACAAAGAAATCTTCTCCTCTGTTGACCCCCGTGTTTGGAACAAACCTCTAAACTGCATTCGATCTGCAGAGTCACTTTGCACCTTTAAGAAAAAGATAAAGACCCAGCTCGGTGAAATGCCTGTCAGCACCTGTGTGTCCAATCGGACTCAGAGCTGATCGTTTACACTTTGCTTGTGTTCTACTTACTCTCTGATGTACGTCGCTTTGGATAAAAGCGTCTGCTAAGTAGAATTGGAGAAATTGTGGCAGTTTGGTCCAGAAATTAAGAGAAGGATCCTATAATTTGACACAGCTCAAGCTGGCTTATTCTCTTAACAAACATGTAGAAAAAGGGGGAAAAAAATAACTAGGTAAAAGCAGAACTCTTGTTTTTAGCATTTTGATTTAAATATGGTTTAATCGATTATAAATGTTTTGCAGCCATACTAAATCATTTTAAATTAAATGCAACACAGTGTACTTGAGTGCAGTAAAATAAATACCATTGTGGTTGTCGAGTTGTTATCTTTAGACTTTGCCTTAACACTACTTTTTGAATCCTTCCGTTCCGTGCAGCTGAGCCCATCCCCCGCTCTCCCCATGTCCCTCTCCCTGGAGGACTCGGAGCTGCTCTCCTTCTACTCGTCTCAGAGCCTCGCTCACCTCTCCTGCCTGGCAGACGCCATCGACGTGCTCTTCAGCAGCGTGCAGGGGAACCAGCCTCCCCGCATCTTCGTCGCCAGAGGGAAGAGTCTCATCGTGACGGCGCACAAGCTGGTGTTTATCGGCGACACGCTGTCTCGACTTCTCACCTCTGCCGACCTCAGAGCCAAGGTAGAGGAAGCCATCCTGATGTTTTGGTTTCACGGCAAGATAAACAATTTGTGTTGAGAGTAAAATGCTTCTGCTCTAACCCTCTAAGACCCGCTGTAGAGTTTTTAAAATGATGCTGCAAATCGCCTCCAGTCAAATAATCATTCATCTAATCAACCCAAACGAGCAGCTCTATTTTAAAAACAGACAGAAATTCAAGTTTTTTTCATGTTACAAAACACAACTCAAGCTTTGATTTAATAAAAAGTTGTAGCAAAGTACAGACTCAGTGCTCCTCAGAAAACTGTGTCTGTCCCCGACAGTGACATTAAATCACGTCTATGTGATGCTTCCATAAGAGAGTAAACTCAGGATCAGTTTGAAAATGACAGCTTAAACATTTTTAAAAAAGCAAAACTCTCTTTTCCCGCTCAGATCACGACCTCCGGGGGGCGACTCTGCCAGGCCTTAAAAGCAGTCGTGGTGGCAACGAAGGGCGCCGCACAGAACTACCCGTCAGTATCTGCTACCCAGGAGATGGTGGACCGCGTGGCTGAGCTCTCCCAGCAAGCGGCCGGCTTCTCCACTCTGCTACAGCGTCTGGCAGAAATAGCATCGTGATGTTTTATGTCCCTCAACGTAAAAACAAACAAACTTTGTTTACACTACACACATATTTTCTCTTCTCTTAGAAATGCCTTATTTGTTGTACGAGTCTTTCATTACCTTCGGTTGGATTGGGATTAAGCAAGCTATTTTGCTGTTACTAAACTGGGATTTGACTGTCCAGTCCTCAAAGTGTGTGTTGGTTTGCCTTTTTGTTTATATACTGACCTCTGTGCTTTGATGCCGGGCACACTTGTCTTTCTTTTGAGTGTTAACTTATTGAATATTTGAAGCTTCCCTGTGGCTTTGAGTGTCCTCGCGGACTGTTTATCTTGGGAGCTTTGCTTTATTATGTTTGCCATATTTTCCTCTCCTCACATGATACCCTGTTTTTTCCTTCCTTCCTTTATTTATTCAGCCATCCCCCCTCTTCTAAAAATAGCACAGACGGAGGCCTTACATCCTGGTTGTGGCCTACTTTTTTTTTTGTGCTGTGATACCTGAAAGGCCTTTTGTTTTGTTTTTTAACATTCTGAGGCTGTGGAAGCAGCACATTGAGTGTTCAGGGGCTCAAAATGGAATAAGGATGGAGGAGGAGGAAGTTTGCTCGACTTCCGTTCTTAACTGTGCAACTATTTGTTTTGTCTGTGCAGTACGACATTCTCACTAATAGCAAAAGATGAACAGCAGACTACAGCATATCGTACCCCCAATCAAAACCGTTCACTACATAATCACTTTGCAGTCTGACACGCCTCGTCACGAGAAGTGAAACTCCTGTCGTACAGAGGAGACGCAGATGACAGATACCGTGACAAATTGCCTAATCCCAGTCGTTCCCACAGTCCCATGGTGGCCTCGTGCTGGAAACGAAACCTGTTGACCCAGCTCACCTGTCTGCACACGTCTTGTTGTGATCTGCATGCTTACATTTCTTTGCTTCTCATCCTCTTCTTTTTCCCCCCACGATATGTGCGTCCCCTGTCAACAGCACAAACCTGCTCTGATGCTGTAACATTTGTGCTGTGCGGAGCGTACAGTGAACACTACTACGGCTGGGTGAAAAACATAATTAATGTAGAGCACGGCAGTGGAAAACAGTTCCCTGTACTGAACGTTTCCATATTACATGACTTTACACTTTCCTTGTCGAGATAAATATTTGATGTAACCCATTTACCCAGCCCTGGTTTAAACTTTAACATGAAGCATCACGTTCTGGTTGATCGGGACGGCTGAAGTTTGAATTTTAAATCCGACCAATGAGATGCCTGCTCACCAGCTCAGACGACAGTATCTTATCTGTTGTGTACTGTTTTCATTCATACCATAGGAATAAACACAGGCGCTCTGCAAAGTTGGATTATATTCATTTCCTTGAGATTTTTTTTTAAGGTTTTATTTTCAATATCAGGAAAATGCATTCTTCTCTTCTCAGTTTTGTGTCTGAGTTTAAATCATTCTTTCTTTCTGCTGTTACGTTTTATCTGCAACAGTGCCACCTTGTGGGGATTTGAAGTATTACTCATTGAACGTCTGCCTACCATTACAGGCCCTGTACTGTTTGTATGGAGAGAGAGCATGCTCAGCAAAAAAAAAACCCTTTAGCTCTATATTTATTGAAGTCACTTTTTATGTCCTTTGTTTTCCAGTGTGCATGGCTTTAATTTGCTTTAAGTGAACATATGCACATCCTTCATCAGGGGTGACTTTACTTGGACATTTGCAACGAACAAAAATGTTTTTTTTTTTCTTTACAAAATGTTACGTTACAGTTCAAATATATGGCTGTATTTTCTTTTTTTTTTACCAGAAAGCTTTTTATACTATGTGAACTCAGTTGAGTCGGGATTTGCTGAGGTATAGAAGTGCATCTTTGACTTTTCTCCTACAGTAAACAGACCTTTAAGTTCCTTACCTATAACACTACATTTGATGTCTGTCTTGTATTCATGTTCATAATGCACAAATACATCTTTTGCAATTAAACAAAATGTGTTTTGATTCTTGACAGCAATATTATTGTTTTAAAAATATTTTTCTGAAATGTATTTGTTTGTCATGCTAAATATAAAACCACTTTTTTTTTTTAAAGATGGCATACACACAGGCTACTTCATTAGTTACTGACCGAATACAACCACCGTAAAGTGAATAAATTCAGGTCATCCGGACTGTGTGGCTCCAGGCTGTAATTGGCCCAATAACAGTCGCAACCGCCACAGTAGCACAGCGCTGTTATGCGATTCGGAAAACCCGACCGTTCCCGGAAACTGCCGAGTGGCTACGCCGAACAGCAGACGTAGCGACGCTTGTCGGGAGTTTGGACAAGCGGAGGGAGCAAAATGGCGGACGAAGATATTACGCTTGATGGGAAACCTCTACAATCGCTCAGAGTGGCCGATTTAAAGGCGGCTCTGGAGCAAAGAAACCTCCCGAAAAGCGGGCAAAAAAACGCACTCATGAAGCGACTGAAAGGGGTAAGTTGAAGCCGGTGTTGGGGATGCCTTGTCGAGTCTGTCTAAGTTCAGCAAGAGGCGAGAGACGGCGGGGGTTAACGTTAGAGGCCGTAACGGTGGGAAGCGGGAACACGTAAACCGCCGAGCAAGCGTTATTACACATAAACAGCACTTTGTTATTTCGGTTATTTGTACCTGACAGCACAAAGAAACTATTTACCCGCCGAGTTCCGACTTAAATCGTAACTACTTGCAGCGCACCGTGTTGCACACAGTTGAAGTGTGCACCTGTCAAGTCGAGGCCTAAAGCTGAGCGTAAGACAGCCGCACACAGTGTACAGTACCGTCGTGCCCGCGCACCCTATGTGTTTGTATTGGGGGTGACGGGGGCGCGCATCGTCATGTAAACACAATATCAAAGAAATAACTTCAGTTTGTTGTTTTTAATATGTAAGCATGTAGCGTTGTTGTTTTTGCACGTTACACCCAGTGAATAAACAACAACAAGAGTATTTTTTCATAGTGAGGTCACGGGTCTAAGTTCCCCTCCCCCCCCCTCCTCCAGAATAATGTAAACAAACAATCCTTAAATATACACATAATATTGTCTTTTTATAATTTATTTTTCTTAGTTAAATGTTCTTTTATAATTGTAGTTTGTTGCCCCCCTAAATAAAATGTCAAACTATCTTCACATGTCCAACTATACACAACTTCAGAAGGTCTACACTTTTTTTTTATTATTCTTCATATTCAGGTCTAATTACAGATGTTTTTTCCCTCAACTGTTTATAGGTTCTTGTTTTAAATTGCATGCACATATATTTTTATCCCTGCACGGGTTATGTACATTTCTTGTTTAAGTCTATTTTTAATTACACAGTTTAAGTTTGATTCACCTAGGGTTCAGGTTAATATATATGTATGAGGAGGAGGAGGGGGGGGGGCATTGGTTTTGTGGTTTAATTTGTAACAAATGTTTCATGTCATGTACGTCTTTGTAACCTGCTACTGGATGCTTTGAATTTCCCTCGGGATCAATAAAGTATCTGTCTATCTATCTAACTTAAGTTAAAAGATGACATATCGTGAACTTTTTTTTATAACTTTTCCATCAAGTTTGTAGACGTTAATCCATAGTTTTGTGGTTCATAAATGTAAGAAGATAAATGTTTATCGTCTTAGAAGAGTAAATACATCAGAATAGTTAGTTGATGCATCTTTTTTTTGCTTTGATACAATGAAATTCATAAAGAACTTTTCAAAAACAGTGAATAACATGAACGTCTCCGTCTGAGTTCCTAAAGGGAGTGACAATAGCATGATAATACCAGTTCATTACAAGAGCTTTGTAATGCATGCATATTATCAACCTGCACAGCCAGTTACAGGTATTAACATCCTGCCAAAGACAATCATATAAACAATGGACTGATAAAATATATTGCATACATTTTGTTATTCATGAAGATTCAGATGTTTCTGTGAGGAGAGTGGAGACCAGTTTCCATGTGATTTGCATACATTCAAAACAGTTGACTGTGTTTCACAAGCATGAACCAAGCCCTTGATTTTATGTAAATCAGGCTTCTGTGGTTCAACTTTGATAGTTAAATAGGCTGTCAAGGGGTTGTGCTTATTATGATCTTTTGAACTGTAAGTCTGAGACATGAATATTTGCTTTTACTTTATTGAAATTGAGCAATGTGTCATTACACTTTGCAATTTTCAGGAATTTATGAAGTGAATAATTGTTGCAGAATGCTTCAACATTAGTTTGTGAAACCGAAAACAATATTAAACATTGACCATTTAAGAAGTGTGCAGACATGTGAAAAATGTATCACACAGTTGTGCGCAGATCAAGGCCTCCCCCAACTAACTAAATCACCCACCACAAAATGAATACAGCTATAACTTTTTTCTGTATTCCATGCAGGCGCTGATGTTGGAGAATCTTCAGAAGTCATCCTCCTCCCACAGTGGGCTGCAGCCCAACTCACAGGTATGAAGAGATTTTTAAGGATGGGTTAATTTATTTGGCTTTGTCAACATAAGTCTGGTTATGTTAAGTTCTACCAAAATTATTGAGTTATTTTTTAAAAGCAGTATTACTGGACTGGAGAACAAACTTACATTATTATGTTACACCAGCACATATAGCCCAAACTTACATTATTATGTTACACCAGCCCATATAGCCCAAACTTACATGTGGATTTTTTGTGAATGCATATGTATTTTTCTTTTAAAATACTGTTTTGTGTACTTTAATGTTTTGGTAGATTGGCGAGGAGATGAGCCAGAATAGCTTCATAAAACAGTACCTGGCCAAACAGCAGGAGCTACTCCGTCAGAGGCTGGAGAGAGAGGCCCAGCAGGACGATGAGGCAGAAGGTAAAACACTGAAAGAAAGCACAAATCAGTGGTTCATCCATTCCATACACACAGTCACCGCCAAATGAACAATGCTTCCTCTAGTTTCAGTGAGCAGTCCTATTAATATATCTGTACTAACCTTTTGTCCTAAGTGTTTCTGTGCTTATAAATGGCCTGTCAAACTACAACAATGGACTATAAAAGTACTTAATCAAAGGGATGTTTCAACCTGATTCATATAAAAGTTGTGAACTGGTAGTTGAGAGTCTTTTGTATAAATCTTTACAATGGTGCTGACCTGCCTCATGTCGCTGACTGACAGAAAGCCCAGCAGTGCCTGAAGAGGATGACGACCACTCTGAGGACAACGACAGCTCCCCCTTTGTTCGTGACAAGGTCAGTTAGCCCCACTGAAGAGAGAAACTGTTGGTGCTTTTTACAATGTGTACAGTTATTTTGAACTCTTACATTAAGCCTGCCTTTTTAAAATGTGTCTATAAATGTAAAGAGTACATGTATTCTCTCAGACTGACCCCCTTGTTTTTGCTAGCAGCATCACTCCATACCCTCTCAGGCCTCAATGATGAGGGAGGAAAAAGGAGGAGGAGATGCAATGATGGGTCATGCAATGATGGCGAGTGGTGCCAACATGGGCCCGTCAGCTACCCTCCACCCTCAGGAGTCCCTCGAGGCTCCGGGTGCTTGGATGCAGCGGGCAGCCTTTCTTCAAGGACATAAAGAGCCACCGGCACCCTCTCCTCCTCGTGCCGTAGCCTCCCTGTCCGTGCGCGTCCTGGGCCAGCCGGACCGCCAGGGGCTGCCCCCTGTGGTACCAAGAGCCCAGGAAAAAGAGGGCACCGCACCCAGTGAGCCCGGATCAGCTCATCCTGTCCTACATCTAAGCCGATCTGCAGGAGTCTCAGCAGGAGGTCGCGCCCATGAGGACGACGATGAAGAAGACAGTGGAGATGACGAAAGCGAGGACGACGATGAATGGGGGCCCGGGCCCGGAGGGGTACGAAGGGGTAACAGAGTGCCACCCCAGCCGCAGCAGATGCCCCCCAGTGTCCCGTCAACAGCTGCCAGATCAAAACGCAAGCTTCAGCCTCCGCAGCACATCCCGCCTCCTCAGGTACACCACACCCCAATGCAACTGCGCCACCCAACTCCTCCTCCCTCTCCACCCCCCGACCTGTTCCCTCTCCCCGACACTCCAAAGCAGAGCCCACAAGACGCAGAGGAGAGAGAAGGCCCTGAAGCTGCTCGTGGTCCAAGGGGGGTGTCTCTCCCGCCTTCCTCCCTGCAGAGGCAAGACTCTGACTCCAGCTCTCGTTCCAGCAGTCCTGAGCCATCCATGAATAGAAAGCCAGGGCCTCTTTCTTTGCTCGTACACAAGATGGAGACAGAGAGGGCTTTTGCCTCAGCTGCAGGTGTTTCAGGAGAGACGGCACACTCTACGGCTGGGCCTACCTGTTCCACTGAATCTCCACTGCAAAGACTGGAGAGAAAGAGGCTTCAAGAGAACAGGGAGAAGGAGGAAGAGAGGGAAAGGCACGAGGTGCAAGACCAAGAAAGAAGGAAGATAGAACAGGAGCGAGCGAAAAAGCGCCTGGAGGAAGAGAAGGAGAAAGAGAGCAAACACCTGGAAGAGGAGAAACAGCGTCAGAAAGAGGAGCGAGATAGAAAGAGAAAACATCTTGAAGAGGAAAAGGAGAGGAAACACCAGGAAGAGGAAAAAGAAAAAGAGAGGAAGCGCCAGGAAGAGGAAAAAGTGAGGAAACGCCAGGAAGAGGAAAAAGAAAAAGAGAGGAAACACCAGGAAGAGGAAAAAGTGAGGAAACGCCAGGAAGAGGAAAAAGAAAAAGAGAGGAAACACCAGGAAGAGGAAAAAGAAAAAGTGAGGAAACGCCAGGAAGAGGAAAAAGAAAAAGTGAGGAAACGCCTGGAAGAGGAAAAAGAGGAAACGCCAGGAAGAGGAAAAAGAAAAAGTGAGGAAACGCCAGGAAGAGGAAAAAGAAAAAGAGAGGAAACGCCTGGAAGAGCAGAAGAGAAAAGAAGAGCACCAGAGACAGGAGGCCGGCCACAAAGGCAGGGTGGTTGTGATTCAGGATTCTTCATCAGATTCCGACTCCAATTCCGACTCCTCTTCCCGCTCATCACAGTCCTCTTCCTCTTCCAGAGAGAAACCACGCCCCTCAAAGCAGCCGAAGGTCAGTGGGGTTTGCGTTAGCCGAATATTTTCTATCTGTGATGGAATTCTTTGTGCACATACCACCTTTATAGGTTTTTTTCTACTTATAAACCTTATTAAATTGTCAATCAGACCATCAGAAAGGCAGTTTATAATGTCTGACTGAGGGTTCAAGTTTGTTAGTGGCCAGCACAGATCAAATGATAGTAGTGCAACGGATCACATATCTCCAGATATGTTGAAGCCTTTCTGTTGCATTCCACTGAAAACTTCCGTTACATGACATATATTGACCTGAACTTGAATACTGAATCAAACATTGAACAAACTGCTGTTTTTTTTTTACATTGTATTTATTATAAATTATTTTACAGAAGACAGACCAAGCCGTGCAGCAGAGGATGATAGAAAGACTGTCCTGGTAAAAGAGGCAGAGAAACGACATCTGTCAAACAGGTCAGTAACTTTGATGGAGGGATTTGTTGGATTTGGTTTGTTACACAACCAAAGTGGCCTCGACTGGAAGACAAGAGTAGCTTCTTCTTGGGTGCCTGTTTACTATCCGGTACCTGGTTTGGGACATTCAACAGAGCTTTGTCCTGACACCTTGCACTCTGTAAACGACTGAGGCCAACTTAAAGTCTTCACTCAAATCCATTATTGTTTATTTGCACGCTACATGCAACACCTTCTTTCTCTACCAATCTTATACTTAAGATTGTGCAGTATTTGTGCATATTTTTTCCCTCTATTGACTACCTGTAATATTATAGTTTGATTATAATTTATTTATTTGTTGTTAAGTGTTTTTTTTTTTTCTTTTTTTTCCTTTATCAGACATATTTTTTTCATTTTCACTTTTGGATTTAGAAACCCTTCCATGACTCTGCTGAGGGGGCTGACGATGCATTGCATTTCTGTATTTATCTTCTAGATACTTATAAATGTATTGTAGTGATGAAACATTATAAACATGCAGACACCATCGATTTAAGCCACATTTACTACAATAAAAGAAACAAACACATCTGAAATAAAGTAAAGGGAGCTGTATAATTGGGAGTACTAATGTGAGCCTCTCTCAAAATTTGCTATTTGAATTATTTATCTATTTTTGAAAACAGTCCAGCCCTCGGCTGTGCTTGGACTAAATTTAAATTGGCCTGCATGATATGAAAGAAAAAGATGCGGTGCGCTACCAATGTTCAATATGGACGGTGATTGAAAAACAACAGTAGCTATTTGCTACCTTGAGATTTATCTGACCGCATCAAAAATCGGAAGGAAAGCAACGTTTTACCCTGGTCTCCATCCAATAATGAAAATTGACAAATGCTGAGAAAGAATGCATTACTTGATTGCATTAGATTATTTTCTTAATTCTCTAATGAATCAGACTTTTCACTGTGTTAATTGCGATAATGATGCATTTGGAGTTTATTGCACAGTCCTAATTTGAATGGTCAACAAGGTGGAAATGATATACTGTTTCTCTGGGGGGGGTTTTAACCTTGGAAAAGCTTGGTAATGTCCTTTACAGTAAAATCGTCACAGAGTTGCGAGCTTGTCTTTAAGATCACTTAAACATTAAATCATTTTTAAGCACATCTCCTAGATCACTCATTGCATCATCGCTAATTATAGCAGCTTGTGTTTCTTGCTGCTACCCCACGAAACTGCGTGACTGTGCTGCTGCTTTTCTCTTGAGAAAAAAAAAAAGGGCCTTTTATTTAACACATTGCCCATGCTGTATTTTTCGGCCAATTCCCCTTCTTCTTGGTATTACAGTTCACTCAATATATTTCTCTCGCGTGATTACACAATGCGCTATTTTGAGCTTTTACTTTGAAAACTCAGACCGGAACATTTTTTTTTTTTTTTTTTTTTTTCTCCCCACTCGGGCAGGCTTGACACACTGCGAGCCATCATGGCCGCCATGCAGGCATTGCATCCCTGATACCGACGCAGTGACCGGATTTCAAGCCGTAGAAAACAACGTGTGGGCCCGTTTTCAAAGAGAATTTTTGCGTTTTCAACCCAAACCTTAAAAGGAATAGATAGTAGCGGCGGAGTGTTATCTGTCATCCCCGGGGGCTCCCTCTCCAAAAGGCCGGTCGTAATGTTGTCCGAAGGCAACAAAAACGGGTAAGAGTGAGGCAGAGGGCGACTCAAGGCTTCAGGTTGCCGGTTGCACTTTTACACCTCCTATCCACAGATCAAAAAGGGAGAGGGGGGGTGTATATTAATCTACCTGTCGCTGTGTGGTTTAATCACGGTGGTCGTAATGATGCTTAGATAACAGCATTTCTCTGGTCTGTTAAATATCATGTCATCACTTCACATTGGCCTGGTTATGAGCGTGTTTCATGTCCGCCCATGTGAGGCAGACCGGGGACTGGTACGGTCTTTTGTTGAGTAATCGCTCAGAGAAGACGTTTTTTTTTTTTGTTTTTTTTTGATAGAGGGAATGGGGTCCCCTTTCTCTTGATCAGTGCCTAAAAATAGCTTCACATTGATGCAACATTAATAAATAATGGGCTCGGTATTCACGCTGTGATTTCTCCATTTGCTGTCTTGCCAGGTAGCAGAGAAATACTGCATGTGATGTTTCTAGAAAGAGGACATCTTTTATTTTATTTTTTTCCTCCCATTATATCTTTTTTTTTTTTTTTTTTTTTTTTCATACAGCCTGTTGTCTAGCCCACAGACGGCTGTATTTGTATTTTTGGATTTGTGTTGCTGTAAATGATCTCAGCGTTGTCAAGGGGGTTCATTAAAGCAGACATCTGTTAGCTGTACAGTCAGTGTGAATGGGCCCTTATGGTGTGATATAATTCTCCCAGCTGGCACCAGCAGTCACACTCTGGTCTCCTGAGAGCTGACTGCACGTCTGAATTGATTGGTGACTGTGTTTTTGTCTGTTTTATGAGTCCAGTTAGTTGATTACAACATCTGAAACGAACAACAATCTGATACCTGTGTATAACGACTGCATACTAATCAGACACTTTTTTCTTAGTTTTGTTTTTCACTTTGGAGTGGTGTTGTCAGGATACTAGGGATGCAACAATTCTCAATATGATATTGAACCATTGGGTACGGTATCCATGTTTCAATACGCGCTTGTGAATTGCGATGTTCTGGTTTTCTGCACAACTAGCTGCCACGCGATGTATTTATCTACTGATTGGCTGTTTGTGCTCGGGAGTCCATACCGGGATAAGGAAACCCCTCCCCCTTAGTTAATATCCAATCATTTTGCGCTAAAGTTGGGGTAATTTGACGACATTGGTGTCAGATCATACACATCATCTTCACATGGCGAGCGATGAGGAGAGGCAGCAGTATGAGGAAGCACCACCTTCCTTTAAATCAGGGATGTGGGGACATCTCGGTTTTGGCGTCGAGTATAATGACAAGGAAGAGAAAACCGCAAACAAAAAAATGACTGTCTGCGAACAGTGTTTTACACGTGTCCTCTACTCAAATGGAAACACTTACAGAGTTTGGCTAAGTTTACAGCAACAGACTGCTGAAGTTTATCACAATAATTGATACTGAAACAATACTGGTTGGAATACCTAATGTATAAGAAAAGGGTGGTCACAGTTTCTTTACTTACAGCAGGGAACAACAACCAACAAATTCTAATACCAATCTGTTTTGAATAAAACATTTCAAAGTGCCAAAAACATTTAAAGACTGTGCCGCACTAATTGGCCGACGCCTGGGAATGTAAATTTAATGAATTGTAACATTAGAAACAAGCAGAGCCCCTACCAACCAGCCGAGCTAACATTAGAGCTACTCGCTAGATTCAGTCGGCAGTACTGACACTTACATACTCTGCAAGCACTGTTGTTGTTCCCTTTCACTACGTAATACACGACCAGGAAAGACTCATTTTTAATCGTCTCCTGAATATTAGGTGGAAATGATGTCTGGTTAAAGAAGTTACATTTTTTGGGGGGGGTGCTGATAAATTAGGGTATTGACTATTAACTAGGTACATATGGTACATTTTGAAGATTTTGATGTTGATGATGAACAAGAGGGCTTCAAGATTATCATTTGCAAAAAGAAATATCAAACCATTACACTTTATTACTCATTATACTCGTACCTTGTTCCAGTGATCATTACATCAATTCAGCCTGGCCTCTCCGCCCCTCTTCGATCCTCAGGGGAGTCGTATTTCTAGTTGGCATCTGTCCCCCTTTATGGCCTGTGCAGGTGCGTCTCTGGCCTTGTCAAACCCCCCCCCCCCCCCCCCCCCCCCACACACACACACACACACACACACACACACACACACACACACACACACACACACACACACACACACACACACACACACACACACAGGCATTGACATCCACACCGCTGGCAAATGAGAAGGTTCAGTGTGGCGTGGAGGAGGGGAAATGCTGCCCTCCTGCCTACATTCTTGCCAGTGACTAATCTCCAGAGAAGGAAGCTGAAAAGGCTCTCCCAACACTGTGGGTAGATTTCAGTCGTGCACAGATTAACCCTGCCAGTGATCATGTCACATGTCAGGGAACAAGAAAGGGCCGAGTTTGGCTGGTCTGTGTTTGCCCGTTACACTCTGAGGGTGAATCATAAGCAAGTTAGAGAGAGATTCTTTTCACATCTACTGTTATCAGTCTTGAAAGGGTTCATTTGTTTTGTACCTTGTTTTTAAGCCACAGAAATTCTTGTGTCTAATTGGCCTTCTCCCACCTTCAACAAAACCAGCTAAAAAAAGTCAAATAACCAATGAAACCATTAGTTGATTGATATTTTTCAATAGGTCAGTCTTTTCAGATGCAATATTCTACTGCATATTCTTGTCTTGATTATTAGAAAAGTGAAAAGCTATCAGCTTTTTGATGTTGGACGGACAAAACAAGTTATTTGAAAACATCAGCTTTGCCTCAGTAACATTGTGATGTCACCTTGGAGTTTTTGGGGTTTTTTAATGTCCTAAAGGACCTGGTGTGTACTTTTATTAATTTAAAGAAATAACGATCAGTTTAAAGACAGAAACGCAGCGGTTATCTCAATTTGTAGCTTTTTGGAAATGTCCATTGCAGAATTTAATTCAGAAAGTTCTGCAGTAACAGATGATGCAGAGACGACAGTTGTGTCACAAAGAAGGAAGGATAAGTATTTTTGAATAAATTATCCAAGTTATTTCCCCGTGACACACAGCCATTGCATCATGAAATGAATCAAACAATAAAGATGAATGTGCCCCGCGATAAAGAGAAGAATGCCTGAAGATGTGATCCTCCCATCTCCAGTTGCTGCCTCCATGCGTGTGTCATCGCACAGAGGCAGCGGAGGAGACTTTTGAGGGGGATGCTATATATATATATGTATGACATCTGCTTTGGTTTGCTTGCTGTCTTGCATAACAGAGCGAAAATATAACACTATGTGAAAGAATGGATGTGTGAGGTTTGATAGAAAGACTCTTGTTTTCAGTGTCTGAGTTCAATCAATCTTTAATTGTAACGTATAGCGCCGCCAAATGTTATCTCAAGACACGTCACAAAAGAGCCGGTAAAAGACCAGATCAGATGAAGACCACACACATCAGGTCAGCTGCGGTTGTGCGTCTCGGGCTATGAGTTAGTTTGAGGTGTGTTCGTGTGACCCTGGGTGTCTGTGAGCTGGTGAGTTATAAATAGAAGGAGGGATCCAGGTCACCGCCTCCTGCACAGAAACCTTACTGTTTTTCTGTCTTGTCCCACACATCGATTTGTCAAGTTTTTCTTTGATGAGGGATGCAATTAATATCTTATTTCCACAAAGTAATCAGTTACACTAGTTTACTAATTTGAATTTAATTTGCCCTTTAATCGACAGGGAAATTCGTTGCTAAGAGCATCCCTAGCATAGGTTGCGGCAACCGAATATTTTTGAACAATGACGGAAAATGTTTAAGTCTAGTGTCCGTCATTTGGCCGATTAGAAAACTGAGGGCGATCCAGTGTGGCTGCACGCTCACGCAGGCAGATGCACAGTCATTTTACAGTTTGAGCGTAGTGTACAGCCCTGAGGGTGTTTTAATCTATCCCCAAAAATAAGATTCCTCTCAGAGCTTCTGGGTGTAATCATAAACCTCGACACCATGAACGCGTCTTGCTATCCAGGTGCTGATAGCGCATTGAACACTACGGACTGCATGTCCTTTGCATGCAGCTTCACAGATGGATTATATACAAACATAACAGGCGTATCACTTTGTGAGAATCAGTTAGACTAAACACTGTCACTGACCAGTATTGACACTCAGACAGTCTTGAACTCCAAAGCCTATTTTCTTCCAGCTTCTTACCCCATCATCTTCTTCCCTCTTTTGCAGGGAGGTGGCGGAGCCCAGCGCAGCCGCCGTCACAGAGGTGGAAGCAGACTCGGAAAGCTCCATGGCCCAGCAGCCGCCCGCCGGGGCCGAGCCAGAGAACAGCGAGGGCCTCTTGGAGGAGGTAAGGTCTCTGAGAGAGTGGGGTTTGCTCGGTTCTCTGCTCCATCTCTCACTAACCTGCATCCTCATTCACAACGTAGCATGTGTAGATGGCGGCGGCGGCACAGGTTGAGAGGGTCACTTAAAACCAACACAACCCCGGTGTTTGCATCCTGTGAAGATTTTATTCTTTTCCATTGTGGCTCTGTACAGTTTGTGGTCCTTTTTTAAAATATTTTTTAAAATGCTCAGCTGAATACTTTTAATTTGATGTTTTTACATGAACTCTCAGGGGGACAAACAGGGGTTGAGTTGGAGTTGGGTCCTTGGGTATATAAAATTAAACTAATCCGTTCCACCTGCATTTAACCCGGCCCTTATTCCATAACTTTCTCCTTCACTGAGATGATCTCTCACACACACAGCTCTTGTCTATCTGGTCTCTGCAGACAGATGTGAAGTATTGATGCTGTATTAATGTGTTTAGTTAGACCTCCATGTTGTATAAGATGCATGTGTCTCATATGAATGTTTGTGTGTGTCTGTGTTAGGGAGAAAAGCATCTGGAGTCTGCATCTGTAGCCCCTTCTTTTGAAAGGACAGTTTTGCAGACTAGATGAAAACTACAGGGTTGTAGGGCCAGGATGTAGAGACCGATGTTAGCATTGGGATGCAGCCTAAACAAAAGCTCCCTGGTACACCAAGCTGATAATCGTTTGCCCTTGAGCACTCAAGATCAGCTACAGCAGTGTTGACTCTAGCTAGCTAGGATCGAACGAGGTTCAAATGATTGATGTGATGTTGAGGTTGTTCAGGTGTTTTTTTTATGACCTTTATTTGTATTTTAGGTGCGGTTTCCGTATAAACCATTAACAGGTGTCTACCACACCAGAACATGTCCACAACTTTTTTTATTTGTGTGGGAAACATTGAAAAATAAATTAACTTCAGTTTTCTCTTAAGCAGGCATGCACAGATGTCATGTCATCTTTGCCATGCATTAAAGTTAAACTGAGCATTTGGTCAAGCAGAGTCAGTTGGCAAAATGAGAACATAGAATTACATCATAAGAGATCACAAGCAGTTTCACTTCTCCTTGATTTAAATTAAATATACATTCATATGTGCTTCTGTGGGCTTTGAGCTAGTGACTTTATCATCTAGTGAAGCTTATTCAGGTTTGCTGATGAGCTGCTTTACTGTAAAGTTACTATCCGCATGTCTTATTATTTCACTGTAAATTCATTAATGTGTGTGTAGGCACTGATGCCATTGTTTCCCCCTTGGGTTTGCATGAGTAATGGACCTTGACAGTGTGTGTAGAGATGCATCAGGGCTTGTTTCTGCTGTGTCTTTCACCCTCTTTTCATTGTCTCTTCTCTGTCGCCTGCTCCTTTCACACCGTCTTTCTCTCTCTTTAATTATTATTCACTCACTCTCTCTATCTATCTCTGCCCCACCTTGTTCCCTTTACTTCCCATCTTTTGCCTCTGTATCCCATCATGAACGCTTCTCTCTCACTTTATATATTTATGGTGTGATTGCTGTTTAAAACCCCATTGATTGCTTTGTTATGAAGGTGCCCATGCCTCTTCCATTGCCCCTAATGGTACCTGCTGCGTACTACTACCACCACCACCAACAACACCAACACCTCCTCCACTCCTCCTCCTACTCCTCCTACAAGTCCTGTCTCGCTATGCCCAAGTGTGTCGCTGGTACCTGAGTTAGGCCCAGAGTCTGCAGCCACATGGCACTGAGTAAAGCCTGAGCCTGCGAGGCCTCCCCCCTGTAGCTGTCGAGAGACGCGCTGAGCCAGCAGGAACTGGAGCTTGGAAGCCTGTTTGCTGATCTGTGCTGCACTGCACTGTGCGGTGGTGTTGAACGATGGAGTGAGGGAAGAGGAGGGTATCTAAACGATCTGTATCACCCCCCCCTTCCTGCCTCTCCTGACTGCTATTTGGAGGAGGAGCACATTTGCTAAGTGTTTCCCTCCAACGTCTTCACCTCCGTCCTTCAAACACCAGATGCAGCTCAGAGAAAATTACAAAACTCTTCAGCCCTTCTGTTTTGTTTTACTTCCTCCTCCAACCCCACACTGCCCCCTGCTGGTGGGGTGGATTTATGACTTTTGACTGAGAACCCCTGCAATAATCCCAGAAGATATCGTAGCTGGAGTGTCGATACAAAACGTTAAACAAACTCCAACTGAGCTTTGACACTGAACATGTTGTTATTGGGACTATTTTTTGAAGGAAGACTTTGTGGATATATCCTGTCTTTGACGTGATAATGTGGACTTTTACTCCCTCCCTGGAAAAATGTGGAGCACTATGATTTTTTGAGCTTGTTTGCTTAACCGTCATGATCTGCTTCGACAGGTTGGCCTTTTTAAAGTGGATTCTGTTGTTCAGCAGGGAATCAAAATCTGTCAATGAGCTCCAAGTTGTGATCCATATAAGAAATACACAAGCTCCTCTATAGCACAGACTTTCACAAAGACGGAATGCTGAGGACAAGCTGCCCGATGCATTATGTACCAAGAAGCTTTATGAGTGCACATTGACTTTGACCGTCCACACTGAGAGCTGGACTTACACCATCGACTCTCTTCCTCCGTGGTCAAGTTGTCATTGTGACTTGCAAGTCTTAAACCAGGAATTCAGAATTCACTGTGGAGCTGGTAGAAGGACTACTGCAGTTTTTGCTGCTATTGATTTATCCCTACATCAAAATCTTCACTACGCCCACAGCTTGGACCTTACATCCATTACGATTTCAAGGGCAGCTGCATTTTTCTCCTGGATCTGCAAATTCTGACTACTTCACTGGATGATCATTTTGCAACATGAAATGCTGCTGGATTACTTTTCTCAACTTCAATTCTGTTTTAAATGACAGTTTACCATTGCCTTGAAGTTGAATCAAAGAATTGTAAAGCATCCTCTGGCTATAGAAACCTCTTGAGCTGCTGAAAACAAGAACTAAATCTTCATGGACTAAAAGCCATTCCAAAGGACATCACGTTACAATCGCTTTGACACATGAGACATCCCCACCGGTCTTAAAGGCTGTCTGGACTGTATATCGGAAAATATGGACAATTCTGACACTTAAAGACAATAATTCAAGCATCCCAAATGGATTTTTTTTACTCATCAGATGAACATCACAGATCATGGACTTTTAACAAATTCACATCAGCCCCCGACCCCCCCCCCCCCCCCCCCGTCAGAATCCATCACACTTTGATTCGAATCCCTGAAAGACTGAAAAGTGACTCTTTGATCAGCAAATCAATCAAGAAAAAGTTCTTCCCCAGCCCCATTCAAGAGCCAAAAAAAAGTCCACTCCAGTGATCAGTTCCTGCCTGGTGACTTATCTGCACACTCAAATCGAGCCCCGCCCACACTCCTCTACCATCTCTGATTGGATCCTTGTTGCCTAGATACAGTGCACACTGTCGTGCGGTTGGGCCATAGTCGAGCCAGTAAGGAATCAGGTGTCGAATGGTACCAGGAAATGACTTGTGATTATTGCTCTATTTAAAATGTTTACAAATCTAAAAGAGTAACTGTTAAAAAAAAAAAAAAAAAAATCTCTTCCGCCAGATCTTCTGAAAAATAATACCTTTTGATATATTCTCTTTTCTGAATCTAGTACACAACTTTGGACTGTCAGGCTTACTGCTGATTTAACTTTTTTATCTGTAAACAAAGATGACGGTGGTCATTATACATCTGACATAAACGATTGTGTTAAGTTGAATACAGTCCATCTTTAAGATGAATTTAAACTGCAGTACATGTTTTTAATATCGCTGACAGATCTTTGAGTCTTCATCACTCTGTTCTCCTCCTCTGCTTAAACATTCACAAAGTTTGTCGACTACATCACTCGATCCAGTTCTCATTTTTTACTTTATTTAAGGAACATGGCAGAATAAGCACTCAGGGCCGCTGTGCCATTATTATCACGCAATTTATATGAAGAGAAACCCATGGATCAATAATACAGGAGGTTGTAAATGAGCTGCTGCTAAATTACAAAAGCTTGTCCATAAAAGGACAACAATACACAGAAGGATAGCTATGTGACCATTATCACTCAGGCTGAGACTCTTTTTATTATTTATGGGTCATTTTTTCAGCTGTACTTTGTAAACAAGCAGCAAAAAGGGCGACGGTGCAGTTCCTCGAGTGTCCACATGCCCAGGATGTTCCATTATCGCCCATGTTAAAATGCTAATTTTTAGAATTTGATTAAAAATGGTAACAGCATGGTATGAAAACTGTTTTGGTCTCTTTAGCCTAATAAGAAGAACGTTAATGTGAATAATAACCACACCTCAAATTAACTCGGTTATACTGAAGTAGATCAGTGAGAACAGGATGTTAATGGGGCTGTGATTTGGTTTGGAAAGTTTAAACACTAAATTGTTCATGAAATATGAAAACTGTCCCATCTTAAAGTATTCGGGTTGGGACAAACACTCTGACACTTAATATCTTGTACTTTTCAATGTTTATACGTCTACTAATGTCCTTAAGCACATCATGTGCTTGCCTTCTCGTTAAACACACACACACATGAAATCACACACTTACACACTAAAAGGGAAGCAGCGTGGTAATAAAATCTTGTCTTTGAGCAGAGGTGGAGGGCAGTAATGTGTCTGGAGTCTCTCTGTATCGACCATGCACCAATTCTCTATAATGTGGTTCAATTGAAGCCTCCTGGCCTCTGTTACTTAACCCCCCCTTCCCCCCCCCACACCTATTCCCTCCTCCACTTTTCCTGTTCACCTCTTCTCTGTTGTTGCCTGTTTGAGTCTGGTCTCGTGGTTCTCATCTGACCCCACACCCCTGGGGTTTCTGTATGTTCTCTTCCTGTCTCTCTCTCCTTCCAGAGCACCACTCCTAAGGCTTTCACCGCACGCAAGATCTCCCTGACAAGTGAGTACACGGGTTCCATCTTTGTCCCACAGAGTGGATCCTCCTCTTACTTTTAGATTTTAAAACCATTGTCAAGTACGTAAATGAAAATAGAAAATCATTTCTATTTTTTTCTTTGATACATTTTCCAAACATCCAGTTGTTATAGCTGATGAGATGTAGACACTGACAGATCATACATATGCACAGAGCCCACAAAGCTCTTCCAATGAAAGGCGTCTGATCCAGCCTTCACCACAAGGCTCTGAGTCTTTAACTAGATTCTTCTCCTCTGTCGCCCCCTGCTGGTGGACGAACCTCCAAACTCTTATTTAATCTGCAGAGTCTCTTTGCATCTTTTAAGAAAAAGCTAAAGACCCAGCTCTTTCATGAACACCTACACACTTAATATTAATGATGAAGATAGTGATGATGAAGATGGTTTTGTTTGGTAATGGTGATTTTAGGATGGTTTTGATGCTGATTAGAATTGACATGTATCAGACTCTTTCAAAGACTAATTTGGCCATTATTTCTGCTTTCAGTCCATGATGACCTTTAGCTAACTTGACACTGAGGCTCTCTTCACCATAAAACATATCATCCCTCTCAGAGTTTTTCCCTCTGCTCGATGTTTAACTTCCGTTTCCTGACTCTGCAGGCAGTAAATCGTCCCCAGCCGCCACAGATGGAGGAGCAGGAGAGTCTGAGTCCGGAGCTGCAGCAGGGCGGAAGAGGAGGTGGGGCTCCAGCACATCAGTGACGACTAAGAAACCATCCATCAGCATCACCACCGACTCACTGAAGGTACTGAACCAGCACAGGAGCAGGCGTGGGGGAAAAAAATGTACTTTGTTATTTTAGATGATTTTATTTGCTCTTCTTATTTAATTATTTTTAAGCCTTTAGCAGACTGAAGCTTTTAAAATAAGCAGATTGAACTCTTTTACTCTTCTAAAACATTAAAATGATTCAAGATAAAAGCTTGATTTGTGTTATGCAATGAAACAAAGTGAAACTAGTTTGGTTTCATGCAGCTTTGCTGAGCTAACAAGTTTTCCTTCCAGACTTCTTTGAGCTTTTTGAAGCTTTTAAATGACATTTGAGGATTTTATGAAAATGAACAATCCCTCACAGAATGACTGAGTGCAAACAAAACCTGAATCCATCTTCTGTTGCTTGGTCTCGGCAAACAGGTGTAATTAGAATAATGAACTATTTCTTCCCTCAAAACGTGTCTGTATTTATTTTTCTTTCATCTTCTCCTGTCTGCGCCTCCATCCTCCAGTCTTTGATCCCAGACATCAAAATAAACCAGGAGGCGGTGGTGGCGCTGCACCCTGAGGAGCTTCAGCTGTCTGGGGACGAGGAGAGTCTGGACACAAGCCGAGCTGATGAGGACCAAGGCCTGAAGATCCGACGCACCGTCACACAGGTCAGAAGAGACCAACTTCACACTTCAGATTGAATTAGAACAATGCAATCGTGATTTTCTGCATGTGGGTTTGAAAGGTTCGATCAACTTTTTTTCACCTTTAATTTTTTCCCAAGGTTGTCCAAGGTAACAGTCAGGAAAATGGACAGACAAATGAAGAGGAGGAAGTGGAGAAGACGGAGAAGGAAGTCGTAAGACGGACTTCCAGGGACAAAAGGAAGAGCAGTGTTTCTGAGGAATCCATGGAAGTGCAGACATCTGTGAAGCTCGAAGGAGACGAACAGAAAGGTGAACTGCAGCGTTCTCTCTTCCATCGTCCTTCTCGCTGTGCTCAGTTTTGCTCCCTGACTTTGATTACAGTAATTTATTTTTGGATTACCCACTCAGTCTCTTCTTGTTCATATCTCCCTCAGTCACCCCGAGCGACAGCCTGGTGCGTCGCTCCATCAGTCAACAGAAGTCTGGAGTGTCAATCACCATTGACGACCCCGTCCGCACAAACAGGCAGCCGTCGCCGCCTCATGGCAAAGTCTCAAACATCATCCATGTGACCAACCTGGTGGGTTTTTTTCTCATCAAAACCGTTTTACAAAATCATTTCTGTTTGGATAAGTCGGAGCCGTAAGAGTGTGATAGTGTGAGGAACAAATCTTGTATTTCTGAACGTCCCCGACAAGTTATTCATGACTGAGGCGTATTGTGGAGATACCAGTGGTAACCGCGTCTCCATCATTTCTGTAATTACAGCCAGGAACCCTTACTTACTCAGGTATTATGGCTGTAGCTGAGCGTCACTGTAAATGAGAGGCAAACTGCATGACTAAACAGACTGTGACAAGACTAGACATTACACATTTAATCACTGGCATTTGCAGATTCTTTCAAACGTGCGTCATAAAAAAGCGAGATTTAGAGTTAGACGTGGATAAAAGACGAGCAGATTTCTAATGCCACCCAGCTTCGTTAATCTCAGACAAACATGGGCTCTCAGACTGCACAATCTGATGCAGAGCTCACGGAGAAATAACTTACCAGTTATTTTGTGTAAACGTTCACTAGTTTTACATCTTCAGTAACCTTTAAACCTTTAGCCCTTAGTTAGCGTGCCCCATGTACAGAGGCTACATTCCTCAAGTGGGCCGCCCAGGTTCTAATCCGACCTTTGGCACCTTGCCGCATCTCATTCCCCTCTCTCTCTCGCTCTCTCTCTCCTTGATTTAGAACGATATCCACTATCCCTCTATATCTCTACTTAAAAGCCCAAAAATTAATCTTTAAAAAAAAAAAAGTATACTAGTGATTCTGATGTGATTCGTTTTTTTTCCCCACACCTTTGGCACTCAAACATATCTACTGTCCACACACTAATGTCTTTCTATGAATTTAACATATTCTTGACGTTAATCTCCGATTCAAACAAATAGTGGATTATAGAAAAGCAACCACTCTACCCGACTGTCATTGAGCCTCGTCTGTCTTTTTCTATCCCTCAGGTACGACCTTTCACTTTGGGCCAACTCAAAGAGCTTCTGAACAGGACGGGCAGCTTGCTGGAGGAGGGCTTCTGGATCGACAAAATCAAGTCTCACTGCTTTGTCACAGTGAGTAACAATAAATGTTTGTCAATCCATATTGAACACCAATCAGCTTTATTGATGGTCAAACTTATTGATGGACAGCCTTCTATTGCAACAAGCTGATGGCTGTCCACTAATGAGTCAGTCATTTCTACCGTCACAGAGTTCCTGCTCCTGGGTAAAATATTGTAGGGTCTCTCTAAATAATATAACCAAGAGTACAGGCTAGACCTGCTCCCTATGAAACGTGTCCTGAGATTTTTGCTGTGATTTGGTGATTTGTAACGTCAAACTGATAAAATCTATCTGTGCAATTTAAGAATCTGTACAGCTGCAAAACTGAAGCATGTTGTCCTCTCAGAGAAAAGCCCCGACCCCACAGCACTCGAGTAATGTGAGCAGATGATGTGTGATTTGTTGTAGCTGTACACCACAAACTGTGATCCCCCTTTTCTCATCTGCACGTTCCTTAAACAAGGGGGTGTGTTTCGGTTCAAATGTGATCACATTTAAAAATGAATATTTACTTTCTGTCCTACAGTACGCTACAACAGAGGAGGCGGTCGCCACCAGAGCTGCTCTCCACGGCTTCAAATGGCCTCAGAGTAACCCCAAAGTCCTCGGCGTTGACTTCTGTGAGCAGGATGAGGTAATGACACACTTCAAGGAAGTCAAATGATGTTGGAGCAGATAGAGAGACTGAATCTGAACTTTGAGAAGTGAAGGCAGGAATGCTCCAGACGATATAGTCAGAAAGGTGCATTAAGTGTGCTCCAGCTGTGTGGGGAAATGCAAGATGATGACGAGTGCAGTACAAAATTAAAAACATTTTACTGTGAGATATCTGCACTTTAATTTAAATAATTGATAGAAAGGTGCTAATGTAGTTCTCTTAAAAAAACGTCAGACTTACACCCAGTTTGTACGGTATTCAACTTCTGAACCCCCCCCCCCCCACACACACACACACACACACACACACACACACACACACACACATGCAGGCATGCAGCGTATCAGACAGCAGGCACAGAGAAAAAGGCATGAGGAATGAAATATTTATACGTTTTATTTTTGGAACCATTTCAGATGAGCAAACACAAACTTTGTCCTTAGTGGTGTCTGTGCAATTTCTTTTAACAACTCAGACTCGCATCACATCATCCCCCATGTTTGCTTACAGCTAAAACATGACAGTGTGTGTTTACTCTGAGTCTGATGCAGAGATGACATGCTGTGGCCGGAACCTGGCACTACTTTGTGTCTTTGTTGTTTTTGGTTTAAAAAAAAAAAAAAAAAACCCTCTTGATTCTAAAACAGCATTTTATCTTTTCTAACCAAATCGCAGATAGTTCATGGACCTGATGTTTGAGCTCTTTGTTGTTTTTCTGCAGCTCGATTTTCACAAAGGAATCCTGAAACCAGAAAAGGAGGCGGACCCCGTCCCCCAAACAGGAGCTGCTCAGCCCCGGCTGCCCCCTCTGATGCCCGAGCGAGACAGGAACAGAGAGCGAGACCGCGACAGCAATCGCGACAGGGAGCGCGAACGAGACCGGGAGCGGGGCGCCACTGCTGGAGGAGTAGGAGTGGTGAGGGACCTGTGGGCGGAGCGAGAGAGAGAGATGGAGCGGCGGGAAAGAGCCCGTGGTGAACGGGAATGGGACAGGGATAAGATCCGGGAATTTGCGCGACCGGGTGAGGAAGAACATCGATCCCGATCCCGAGAGAGAGAGAGGAGGAGGAGAGAGAGGAACAAGAGCAAGGAGAGGAAGACCGACAAGAAAGGTAACAAACCTCACGGTGATTGGATTAAAAATGAAAGTCCTTTTGATCTCCTGTGCCCTGTCTATAGTTAATGTTGTGCCATGTGATGTTTTATTATCCTTCTGACTTTTTTAGAATTCTAGTTTTTTGTTTACTTTAAAACAGCGGGCACAACATTTTCTGTTAGATTGTAATACTTTGTTGTCATTAATAGAAGAGCTATTTGACACCCAGGTCGAGTTGTGTGTCTTTGTTAAATGATTCTTGCCTTTCTGTTTGCTAATAATCAGAGAAAGGAGATGAGCCTCCTGCCAAACTGCTGGACGACTTGTTCCTGAAGACCAAAGCAGCTCCATGTATATACTGGCTCCCGCTCACTGAGGAGCAGGTACGTCTCACACCTTTGCTTTTTTTTTTTCCATCCGTCACAGTGAGAGTTTTGAGACTTCGGGACTCATCTAACTGAACTGTGCTTTGTGTCCACCAGGTGGCGCAGAGGCTTCTGGACCGCACACAGCGCCAGAAGGAGCGGGAACAACGGCGCAAGGAACAAGAGGAGGAGGACAAGAAGCGAGAGGAGGAGGAGAAGAAGGAGAGGCTGAAGGTCAGGGAGAAGGACAGCAGCACAACGGCGAGTGGGGGAGCAGGAGGAGGAGGAGGAGGAGGAGGAGGAGGAGGAGGAGGGGGAGGAGCTGGGCGAGGAGCTGACGTAGATAGAGGGAGGGAGCGCGGCCGAGACAGGGAGGGGGACAAGAGGAGGGACAGCGGCCACCGACCCAGACGGCCATCGGCAGGCGCGGGAAACGGACGACGCTCTCGTAGCCGAAGCAACACAAGGGATAGACGTCGCTGAGGGAAAGATGAAGGGACAAGAAGGAAACTGCAGACAAAGAATTTTGTGGAGACACATTTCTCTTTTTTTTTTCTCCATGAGTTGTCCCCCCCTCGCTGCCTGTCCCCCGTGCTTTTAAATCGTCCACTTTTGACGCCGGCGTTGTCTTCCAGACCGCTCTGCCATTTTTTTTCCCCTCCCCAAAATGTTTCAAACATGTTTAAAGGTTAAACGACGGTTCACGTAGAGCCCACCCTTCTGTTCTCTTCCTGTCTTCCACAATTTTGAAGTGGGCCCTGCTCCTCCTCCTCCTCATCTCAGTGTAGTGCTGTGAAGTCGCCTCTGTGTCAGAAAAGCAGCACAGAGGTTCTGCGGGTTTTTTGTCGCTGAGGTTTGGGAGCCCGCCTCTTTATTTTAGTTCTGCGGGCACACAGTTCCTTCCTCCTCCTGAGCCCTGTAATAAAACCAGTTCAAAAATAGATCCCCAACCTTCAAATATTTTCTAGGATCAGTTTTAGTGTTCTACTCTTCAGCACTGACTTCTTCTTTTTTATATATATATAAACATTCAACTCAAGTGTGTGAAACTGAGGAAAGTTGTTTTGTTTTGAAGCTTTATGAATCGTGTTAGTTTTTTTTTTTTTTTTTTTCAGCCTTGGAAGGTTGTTTGATGTCCCACAAAGATACAACTCAACACTGTAACGTAGCAAAGTGTGCGGCAGCCCGAGTTCACGGTCGGTGGATGTTTGTGGAAAGGACATGAAATTCTTGTTCGGTGAAGTTTATTCTGTAATAAGTTTTGGGAAGCTGACCTTCCCTGCACTGACCCTTCAATCAAATATAATTAAGAGGAGGTACACATAGAAATGTACCTAATAATAAAAGTAAAGGTTAGAATTTTAATATCTTTAATTTGATGTTTTTAGTTGAAACAGTTATTTTGTTGCGTTTTTTTTCCCCCTCCTCCTGTAAGTGCTGAATGTACCGAGAATTTAAAAACATGAATAAATTTAAATTGCTTAACAGCTTGGATTTGTCTTCTTGTGTCGAGCAGAAGGAAAGTTTGAAGAAAGAATGTAACACCTGGGGGCGCTGATAGCCTAACAGATATGAGGCGTAACCCATGTTCAGAGGTTATAGTCCTCATCGCAGCAGTCGTGGGTTTGAAGCCCACCTCGGCCCTTTGCTTCATGTCACCCCCCCCCCCCACTCTCTACTCCCAACATGTCCGGTCTTCAGCTGTCCTATCCAATAAAATAAAGAAACACTTAAAGTTGCAAACCAAACTAGGTTCAAACACAATGAGAATATTTATTACAACATGCAGAAATTACAGCAATGTTTCCCCCAAATTGTACAGATTCACTAAACACATCTCTTACAGTAAAGTCCAATTTAAGTGCAAAATGTTTGCTAGCGACAATATTTACAAAACAGTTTAGCAAAATCCCTTGTTCTTCTACAGCAAACAGTAGCCACATGTGGGTAAAAAAAAAAGCAGTAGTTTCTTCCCCGTTCCCTTATAATTATGTTACAGTATCAGTACAAGAAGGACAGCAGGCAGTACATGTAACACAAAGGACTGACCCCAGAGTGAGTCAGTGGAAATGTCTTAATATCAGCAGTTTTATCTCTGAAGGAAAGAAGAAAGAAAGAAAGGCGGAGCTAAAGCACGCGGGGAATGACGGCACGTTAAGACCAGCTTTTCATAACATCCGCAGCTGCACAGGAACTGATCAGTGTGTGTTGTTGTTGTGAGGGGGAATGTTGTGTGTGGCGCAAGCTCGGCTCATGTGACAGGAGTGGCAGAGGAGATGAGAGTCCAGAGGGAAGCACTGCGAGCCGGGCTTATCGGAGAGCTGCTTATGGCACTCCTGACAGAGAGAGAGAGAGAGACAACAGATAAGAAAGTGAGGTCATGGACACACAGAACAGTCCTGCACTCAAAAGGTGAGGGTTCAGGACTTCAAGAGATCACATTAACACGTTCACAGGTGTGGGATGACTCACCTCACAGTGGTAGCACTCAAAGTGATAGTCCTTGTTCATAGACACGACCCTGAGGATCTCTTCACTGCCCTGAGAAACAAAACAACACACAAACAAAGAGGTCAGCGCTGTCTGATTTCATCTTTCAGACGTCAGCAGTCCAGGTGATTTGAAATCGACCTGAAACGGCTTCTTCTCTATCATGATCTTAAATCTTCAGAAGAGGAAAGATGGAGAGCACAAACACATTGGTACTCACCTCAGTAGGTAAGATGGGTTGTAAACAAGCAGCACACTTTGGAGCAAAAGTCCTGCAGGACAACAGCAGAAAGTTTGTTTAATGCTCAGGGTGTGTAATGACTCGTGGAGTGACAGTCTTTAAATTGAAAACTTCTGTTATATTTCAAATATGAAACTAATAGGTGCCACGATTCATGGGAGAAAAACAGAATGTGAAGTCTCACTTGTTGTAGTCTGCCACGCAGTAGATGTTGCTCTGATGGTCCACAGTGAAAGGCACGCCGTCCAGAGCCTTGGAGCACCGCACGCAGCGAAAACAGCCCGGATGGTACGAGTTCCCGAGAGCCTGCAGGATCTGAGGTAGAAGACCAATAATATGAACGTCATCGTTGGAATTTGCTCTTTCAACATTTTAGTGACTTTAACATTCATTAACCTTTTTAATAGGGTGCATGTAGTGGGATTTTTTGGGGCCGATATCGGGGAGGGGGAAAAAAATCTGATACCGATATATCAGCCGATATCTTGCTTTAATCTATTTTCAATTTACTGCGTTGGTCGCTCAAATGCGGATCAAACACTCGTGAGAAAGACGGTCACTCAACTGGAAAGTCACTGCACATGTACGTGCATCACTGCTTGACTCTCTGGAAGCTTGTGATCCATATAGCGCCCTCTGCTGGTGACAGCCAGAAAGAGAGCTGCTATTGTAATACAATGATGCTGAAATTAAATGCTTTTTGACTGGTGAATAAATCTAGTCATATCTGCGATACATTATACCAATAGTCACTGGATACTGTTGGCTTAAGTTTGTCAAATGAAGAGGAATGATCCGTACATAGGAGAGAAAAAACAAACAGGAAAGAATTGGAGGAGGAGTAATCATCGGCCCCGACAGGCTCTAGAAACGCCACTGGAAGCATTTTAGACTCTTGCCATAAACAACATCACTTTGTGTTGCAGTATTTCTATTTGACATATAAAAAATTGTTTTGAAAATATAACTCCCCCCCCTCCCCCTCCCCCTCCTAAAACCTCCTTCTCCAACTCTCCTGAGTGTCTGAAGTCCTAAACCATGAAGGAAGTTGAGCCGAGGAATCATTCGTTAAAAACCAGAAGTCTGTGTATCCCAGGCTCATTTTCAGAGTTTTCTATTTTTATTTTGGGGTTTTATGAGGTTCAAATATGGTCAAAAGATTTAAGCTGCTGATCACTCCCAGCCTTTTTTATTTTTGTTTTGATGAAAAAAAGAAAAAGCCAGAGCAAACATTCCTCTGATGATGTGACATGGGAACCAGAAGAGGAGCCAACGAACGGGACGTCACTGAATGATTTTAATCCTCTCGGGGGTTCTTAGAGGGCATTCTGGGAAGTGACTACAAAATACACAAGCTATGTTGAGAAACGGCTGCTTCACACACTCTCTCACACACACTCACACACACATATATACTCGTTACCTGCTCGAGAATCAGGTGGCCACACACACTACACTTCTCCGCGGCAGCCTGGAACCCTGAAAACTGTAATTACAACAAAGAGATTACCATTAGCAGAAAAACCATCCTCCGACTCTCAATACGTCTGACTGTGTGTGTGTAAGGTGGATGACAAAACACACCCTGACCCTAACTCTTACCATGTAATCCTCTTTACAGTACACAGAGCCGTTGACATTGTAGAAGTCCTTGTTTCTCAGGGTGCGTCCTGCAGAGAGCGAGACATGACTCAGTGGGATACAAAAAGGATTCTTTAAATCGGAAATGTTTAAAAAAAAAAAAGGATTAAAGTCAAAGCTTAGCCCTGATAACAAAAATGAAAAGGTTAAGTCACAATAATGTGAAAAGAAACCCAAATTTGGACAGGAAAGGGTAGGAAGACATAATAATAAAGAGAATGAAAAAGTCAAAAGTAAAAGATGAAAGTAAGAAAAATGGATGAAAAGTCTTTAGTGTGAGATAACAGTTTTGAAACAGAACATCACATTTATGGCGGTCTTAGATATGAGAGAACAGACCTGAATGGCTGGATAAAAGTCTTAACTTTGACATTGAACCGTGTAATTATGGGATGTTACGTTACACTGAAGATGAAGAACCTCATAATTATGAGATGGAAAGTCAGATTTAAGAGAAAAAAAGACAAACTGGTCGTAATGGTGGGATAGAAAGTAATAACTGTGAGATAAGATGTGAGATAGAAGATCAGTTATCTGTGAGATAGAGCAACATTATTATGGGATAGAGAGTCTGACTTATGATAAAAAGAGATAACAGGCATTAACACATTCATGACCTTTGACAAATGGCCGTGATAATGAGAAAGAATGCCACAGATTTGTGATAGGAAGTCACAATTAAGAGGTCAAAGGTCACTTGTTGTTGTTTGATAAAAGGTTCCTCATTTATGACTCAAAGTGATTATTTCTGGAATAAAACGTCAAAGATACGGGGTAGGAAATGAGAACTATGGGATAAAAAGTGAGTTTACGGGTCATATTTGAGAGATGTGATGTCACAGATGAGAGATCGAAAGTCACAACCGTGATGTTTTAGAAAAACAAATACACAGATGGTTAACAATTTTGAGACAAAATCTTGTAATAAGAGAAGAAAGTCTCAAATTATACGATTAGAAAGTCATAATATTCAGATAAAAAAAAGCATATGATTCTACGATTCAAAGCGAGAAAACTAAACGGTGAGATGAAAAGTCATCATGAAGAGTTAACGGGTCAGAATCATTAGATGAGATATTCTAATTATGAGTGTGAACGTTGTAATCATGGCACGTCATAATTATGAGATAGAAAAGTCACGAAGCAGTCGAGCGTCAACAAGTTGGTGTTTAAAAACAAGGTGTGTGTGTGTGTGTGTGTGTGTGTGTGTGTGTGTGTGTGTGTGTGTGTGTGTGTGTGTGTGTGTGTGTGTGTGTGTGTGTGTGCTGAGGGACTCACCACAGGACACACAGGTGAAGCAGCGTGTGTGATAGAGGCTATCCAGAGCCTGGCAGGCGTTATCCGCTCCGTACACGCCTTTCCCACACTTCACGCAGGTTCCTGCCAGACAACAGTGGGGGGCAGGCGGAGGGGGGGGGGGACGGGGGGTACACACAAACATTGCGTTTTAGCGGGGAGTCATCGCTCAGCGGCTCTTAGCACTCTCCGCTTTACGACACATTCCAAGAGGATGTGTCTGAAATCCAACTCCACACAAAGTGTCAACACTTGTAAATCCTCTCGTTCGCACCACCTAGGGGATTTTCACACAGTTAAAACCCCGGCTAGCCGTGCCAGCCTGTTTGCTCGTCCACGCGAGTCTCTGTGCTCGGGACTCTGTTATTAAAGGGGAACTCCGCCGGATCTCGATGTTTGGCAGTTATTCCCACAAAAACAGACGAGTCTTTCTTCTGGAGTTTTTTCGCTTTAAGACTTTGCCTTAAAGTTCGACTCGAAACCCTACAATTTGAGAAATCTGGAGATTAAATACGGTCTTACTTTTCCCCTCTTGATGTCAGGACCCTCTACTATCACATCTCACTGCCTCCTTGAAAATCAGAATCATACTGCAGCTCTTCATTGTTCCACTTTAACATCAAGAAATCTAATGACTCACTTTCTGTTCTAAAATGAAACACGTTTGAGGCTATTTTTTTTTTTAACCGTTACAGTACTCCACTGACGTGCATAGAAAGAGAAAGTAAACATGAAATTTCTACGGAAACATGGGCAGAAGTTCTAGTTTTGCCGCTTCAGGGTTGTTGAACATCACCTCTGTCGTGCAAACACTAAAAGCCAGTCGAACCTTTAACAACCATCTTTACTTTTTCTTTTCCTTCTCTGTGATTCCACTCTGACAAGCGTGAGTTGAGACAAAGAGCGGCCTCTAAATGTAAAGTGGAAAAATGGTGTGTTGGTGTGACCTACAGCCTTCTTTTCCTGTGATCTATTTAAAGGGTCTGCCTTCCTCCGCTGCTTTTTTTTTTTTTTTCCTTTTCTAATGTGGGCCGAGGGAGTGCCACACAAACGCTCACACTCTTGGACAGTTCGTTTTCGATATTTAGGAAGAGGCTGCCAAAGCGAGAAACCAAAGCGGGATAAACTCGAGGCTTAAAACATAACGTCTGGAAGCTGCTGCATATAGAAAAAAAAAAAAGCTGGATACGAATGAGTTTAAGTTTCTACTTTCCTGAAAAAGGACGGACATTTCCTGTTTTTTAAGACTCTTTAACAATAAAAGTTCAATTTGAATCACCTTGAATGTATTTCCCCTCCTTACTTTGTACTTTAAACTAATTTTATAAACAATTTTAAGTCATAAAACTACAAAAAAAAGATTGCTTCATGCATATTTCTGTCGCAGCTATGGGAGAAAATCACCAAAACTAAAAAGGAGCATTTGTCTTTTTTTTTTCTCCATAAAGATAAGCTCGGAATCCTGCTCTATAATTTAATGGTTTTCTATATGAGCATTTGGAGTGTGTGTTTGTGTGTTCGCTGAGCTCAGAGCGTCTGCGTTCACGCCTCTCCAGCCTCTGATTCCTCCCTTAATGGGCTGAGAGGAGTACAGTATTGTTTGTCCCCTGCGGGCACACATACCTGAGCAGAAAAACAGGCTGCAGCGCACACCGCCCTCGCACACGCCAAGGCAGCATTACACACACACACACACACACACAAACATGACTCACACACGGCGCATTACTGTGGCCTGAAGTCACTGTTGGGTGGGGGGGGCGGGGGGCACACCCTTAATTTAACCAGGTACTGTAACACACTCCTGCCCTTGCTTAAAATCACACAAACTCAGAGCCCTGATCGTGTGTGACTCACAGTAATGGTCCGAGCTGTGTTTATGTGGAAGTGTGTCATTATTGTCCCGAGCGTCGCAGCACTGTGTCGCAGCTTAACGGCCGTGAAGTTACGCTGCATTTACGCTGCTCTTATATGCAACAACAGCTGACGTCTTTCTTCTTCCTGGCCCAAAAAAATAAAAAATCTACCTGTCTGGATCTGAAGCCGTGCATGCGAGCATTTTTTTTTTTTTGCCTTCCCTCCTTTATGCTTTGCATGCTTACAACGCTGCGTGTCTCTGCAGGTTTGCGGAGCAGCATCCGTCCATACACCGCTTTCAACTATTAATCCGTGCATCCATCCATACAGCCCTTTCATTTGGAGAGGAACCTGTGATCTGACACCAGGCGGTCGGGGAGGGGGGGGAGGCGGTAATAATAACACACTGCTGGCAGATGCTATGACACTGTGCATTAAAAAGTGACTGAAGGATGTGGAGGAGATGTTCAGAAAACACTTTTTTTTTTACCCTATACCAACACCGATAGTTGACATGGGAATGTAAAAGTCTCCCTTGATCTTGTGCGATTGAAAATATGTTTTTATAATCTTGATAGTTAACAGTGATTACTCTCTTCCAGTGTTACATGTTTGTTATTGTCACATGACGATTCTCCCATTCAAGTGTTTTTGGGGTGTAATCTGTAATGGTAACAGATCAGTGCATCAATTAGCATCTCCGCTGTTACAAATGAACACTTTTCAGGCAGTATACTGATTCTGGTACTCATACTGGTATTGTTATTGCTGGTTTCCATCTCATAGCTTGAACCAAAAGTTATAAAAAATAAAATAAAATAAAAAAAAGGACCTCACCAAAGAACTCCTGCCGGTTCTCTCCTCCCTCCCTCCCGGCTCCAGGATCCTCCAGAGGCTTGCCGGGCACTCCGGCTGAGCACGGCCCGAGTGTCGTCGTGTTGGGTTTGGAGAGAGCCGTCAGCGCCTGAGACTGCTCCTTCAGCATCAGGCCCTCCATGAGCCCGCCGCCTTCCAGCGCTGCATCCCTCAGGATGAGTCGGGTGATCTCCTCCTGGTACCGGGTGCCGGGCAGGTCTGAGTATCGGGCCCTGTCGCCCATCGCGGCTCCTTCTTTGACCCGCACTCCCGTCTGCTGTTCCTCCCACCACTCGGGGCCGGCCTGGTAGCACGGACTTCCGACAGCCGGTGGGTAAGAGTGCCGGCTGTCTTGGGCGCCTTGGCGCATCCCTCCCTCGAGGTACTGATTCCAAGCCTCCACGGGGGTCACTCCAGCCCTGACCCCGCACCCAGCAGCGGAGCCCCCCGACTGCATGGAGGGGGACTGCTGCTGCGGAGGGAAGCCTCCAGAGGCGGAGTACCGGGAGTCGAAGCCCAGGCTGATGCCGCTGGTGCGGTTGCTGCTGCAGCGACTCCCCATGGGGCTCCCGCCGCCGCCGCCGCTAGCAGTGCTAGAAGCGAAGCTGGACCTGGGGCTGACCAGCACGGACTCCTGGAGGCTGAACGACGAGCATGGGCTCAGGGTTGGTCCGGGGGGGTAAAAGAAGCCTCCTCCGGGCATATCGGATGTTCGATGTGGTGGATGCGAGAGGGACGCCGGCCTGGTGCTCTCCCAGAGTTCACTCCCGGTGCTCAGCCGTTTGTAAAACAGAGCCTCCTGGAGAGAGAGGCGTTTGTGCCTCTCAGGCTCGGAGAGGTAGCCCGGCTCCGCCAGACCCCCTCTGGGAGCCGAGCCCATGTAGGCAGGGTACAGCGGGGGGACAGACAGAGGCGGCGGCTGCGAGAGGAGCTGCTGCCGTCTGACCAGCTGCTGGAGCTCCAGCGAGTAGCGGCGCTGGTTGAGGGACGCCTTGGAGCCAAACGCCCCCGACGGGTCGCACTCGGGGCCCAGGCCGGACTCGCGCCTCAGGTGGGAGTCGACGCCTTCGCCCAGGTAACAGGACGCCCTCTGCTGGGGGGAGCGGCGCCTCAGCGGAGCCAAGGTGGAAGGGTGAAGCAGCTGCTCGCCATCTTGGGATACAGCGCCCACGTTGGAGGAAGGTGGCGGCGGGGTGAGGAGCTGTGGGGGAGTCATTCCCATCCCTCCCCCTCCTCCCCCTCCTCCTCCTCCTCCTCCTCCTCCTCCTCCTCCTCTCCCACCGGCTGGAACACATGTATCGCTTGTGGTTGCAGAGGCAAGCGAGAACTGGCCGGGTCTTGAGGGCGAGGCAGCTGCAGCGCCGGGAGCCGGTGGCAGACCGCTGCCTCCGGAGATGCCAGGGTTGGCGTTGCTGTTATTGGAGTTGCTGGCAGAGTCGAGCTTTTTCTTTGAACTGTTGAATTTCACACTGCCCGATTCTGTCCGCTTTAACTTCTCCAACAATTTGCTTATCGGCCTGTCCATGATGAAGCCTCGTTTTAAACCTCTCAGAGCAAAGTCAAGTCTTACAGATCCCACCCTCCCCCCCCGCCCGCCCCCTTTAAATTACAGATTATTGTGCTCAAATTCAGTGTTGGGAGATATACAGCAGAACCAAGTTAATCTACAGTTTTACAAAAACAAAATCCTGAATACAATATAAAATACTGGCCTTGAGACTAGAACAAAGCTACAAAAAAAATGACCCTTTAAATACAGGCAATAAATACATAAGAGATAAATAAAACATTTAAGACATCGCAGGGTGGTTACATGACTTAAGTCCCCTGAGTCATCTGGTCTGCCCTCATGTGGAAGATCCACAGGTACAGGCAGGCAGTGATGAGGAAGAATCCATCGGATTTTCAAACTATTAGTTCAAGTCAATCCGGCCAGGAAGCAGGAGATAGGCTACATACATCCAGGACACTCCGGCGTGACCTATGATCGGGTAGGGCCTCCTTTGTGGCCCCTCATGTGGCTCCACATCTGCATCTCCTCCGTTACTTAACCCGTCTGAAACACACTTATCTCAGTATGTTTGAAGTCTTTCTTCATCCAGTTCTGTTTTTTTTTTTGGGGGGGGGGGGTTAGTCTCTAAGTTTAGATTTCCTTTTTTTTAAAAAACACAAAGCAAAACCAGGGGGCTTCAGCGGGATGCGAGCTTTCACCACTTCATGTGGCTCCAGTGTAGACAAGAAAATAAATCCGTTTGTGCTCAGAAAGTCGACTCACCCGACTTCTGCCATTCATTTCAGGAAGGGAGAAAAAAAAACCCAAACTCTTACTTTAAATAAAGTTTAAAGTTAAACTCGGGCTGCGGAAAACACACGTCCGGGCACTCTGTAGACTCCTCAGTCCGTCCATCCATCCGCCTGAGCTCCAATGCTTTTTTTTTTTTTTTTTTTTTTATCTTTCCCGTTTTTCAAAGAAAAGAAATCCTCTCCGGGACTCGGTTGGAATAGTAGCGGAAAAGTTCAGACTTGGAGAAGGAAATGGGGGAAAAAACCGGCGTGCAGCTCACAGTTCCATCAAACGGGACCGGTGCAGGCTAGAACGAATCGCTCAAGATAAATAAAATCCCTCCCCGTGTGCATTGCACGGTCGACAACTTTGTTTCTTTCTTTCTTCCCCCTAAATAATTACTTACCTCCCCCCTCTTTTTTTTTTTTTTTTTTTCAAGTGTGGAGCAACATATATGAGAGGTATTTCCGGTTGGAGCTTTTCAAAGTAACTTCTTTCTTACCGCTGCTGAATTAGAAGACAAAAGAATCGACCTAGAACAATGCTTGGGACAGCTTTGTTGTTTTTTTTTTTTATATCTCAAATCAATTACATGTTTCTATTAAATAATTAGACACAGCCATGTCCAAAGCGACCCCGAAATTGACTTTTCTCGATCCATTTTCTGGACGCAGCGTCATACTCGCTTTTATTTTGAAGGGTTCATCGTTACATTTCCTTCTATTTGTTCGTCCAGCTTGACGCGTCACTGTTCCTTTATCAGCCAAGCGGCGGCTCCCCCCCCCCCCCCCCGTCCCCCCCGAGGCCGGAACACCTTTCCACCAGCTATGGCCTGTTTCGTCATTCATACGCCAAAGTCCCCAGAGGATGTGTCTAGTCCGCTTCCGACTCTTTACAATAAAAAAGTTTTAAACTATGCTTTCATGTGTAGGCTACTTCTGAAACTGGAAGTAGTGTTTTTTTGGGCGAGGGGAAAATATGGCGAGAATTATCTGGAGGCGTTCAGCCACCTGGGTCTTTATTAGTTAACAAAACAACTCAGGCAAAATGAATGTTTTCGTAGAGCTACTCCGGTTTTAAATGAAGATGCTATGACGTAGTATCCTACTGCTGACGTCATGTCTAAAGGTATGACTTTAACCAAAACATGTGGGAGTTTGTTAGTGACTAAGGAAGCCAGGTCACTGCCACAAGTTTTTTTTTTTTTTTTTTTTTAGGGAAATCTTTATCACATCTTTATCACATCTTTATACATGTGTAATTAAAATAAAAGCTACCGAAACTGAATTTATTTTAGTTTTGCATTGAGAGAAAGTAGCCTATCATATAAGAAAAATAAGCTATACAATGCAGCCTATCTCTGGATTATAATTAGGCTACTGATGAATTGAGATACAAGTGTTCTAAAAGTGTTTAAAGCCTAGGCTATAAGTTGATAACTTAGCTGTAATTTAGTCTATTATGATATCTCAGACGTTAAAAACAAAGATAAAGATAAACTTTATTGATCCCCCATGGGGGAAGTTTTTGCATTACAGCAGCTCAAGAAAACAGGAAACAGGAATATAATTATTAAAAATAAAAGTAGGAGTTAAAAATCAATCATATTTACATCAGTTAAATAAAAAAATACAATAATAGAAAATTACACGGTGTCTACACTTATAGCTTATCAATATCTAAGCTTGGAACAGCCTACGTGAAGTAATTTGTTTTGCACATAATCAGAAGAAAAAACATTAAAGAACAATAACAAACTGAAGGCCTACTAATGATAGGAAGTCAAAACAGAAGAGTGCGTCAAGAAATGTGCAGGAGAAACCAAACAAACCCATAGGGGCTAGTGGAGTTGGGGTCTAGGGTGTCAAAACTCTCCCAGATTATTATATAAGATATGTCAGTAGGTGCAGTTTTAATGTATTTGGTACACAGGCCTTTGATTCTGATCAGCAAGTTTTGGGAAAATGGTAGCCTATAGGTTAAGCATTGGGTTGTTTGATACTTGAGCAAAGTTGGCACACAGACAGTGTCAGGTATCCAACTTTAAAAAATATTTAAGAATATTTACCTCATCATGTACTTTGTTGGGCAATGGACAAGAAACTGAAAACCACCACTATAGAGTTGGCCACTTAGAATATCTACTTTAAAAAAAAAACTTTAAAGCCTATTTCCACTCGCCTAACTTTGACTATAACCTATAAGCACCTCAGACACTTTAAATTAGGTACAAAAGCTCTATTTTCACATAAATGCATGCCCTTTAAATCGCTTCTAGTTGGATTCAATATCTGAAAGTTTCCAAATCACGTCAGAGAGCATTGTTGGCAATGGCACTACTTTGTACCACCAGCCTGTGGAATGCGCGGAGGGACACCACAGAGTGAGGCGGTGGTTGAATTTTTTCGGCATGTCTGAGTTCTCCAAGGAGGATACAGGGTAAACATCCCGCAACTATTTCAGGAACCAACCGGCCTATAGTCAAGTCCGTTTTGTGGCGGTTAACACAGGACACACCAAAACACACCAAGCGTGGAAAAAAAAAAAAAAAAAGTACAACAGTGTTTACCCTGGTGTGTTTGGTTAGGCTCGTCGGCTTTTCTATGTGCCCCGGAGCCCCCGTCCATATGGAGCCTTTCATGGCCCCTGCGGTTCACCGGAGTCCTGCAGCAGACTCCTGCCTTTACCTCACAGGCTGCGAGTGGGAACTTGTCCGAAAAGCTAACAGAGAAATTCTTCTGGGCTTAGTAGCGGAGCAGTTCATACAAAAACAATACTTTGAAGAGCTGCGACAGCGCCAGGGCCAGTCTGTCGTCTCCTCTGTTCCAGGGGGAATAATAGTCACATTTCAGCCTTCACAGAAAGGCCTCGGAACTATGTGTCATTATCTTCAAAAGGGCGGACAAAACACGTGACACAAACACGACCTGTGGGCCTTTTGTTTGCCACAAGAAAACCTTGCAATTTTTTTTTTTTTTTTTTTTATGATAGAAAATGAAACAAAAAATGATTGTCCAAAATGTGGTGACAGAGGCCCTTAGGGTATCAGTTCCTGTATGCTCCAAAGGATCCTTCATTGGACATTTTTCATTGGATCTATGAGTGGTTTCAAAGCTATAGCCCAGGATTTACTACAACACAAAAGGTGAAAATAAGGCAGAAATATTAAACCAAATTAGTCTGTTCCTCATTTGTTATGACACCTTGTTTCATCGAGGCTTCTTCAGATCATTCAAAAGACATATAATTACTTAACCCTGATGACGTCACCGTGTCATCATCAGGCGTTATACTTCACAGACTTGACAAAGCTCGTCCATAGACTGCAGGAGACATTACAGAACTGTTTTTGACGAGCTGTAAATGACTTTTCCTGTCCACTGACTGAGACAGTTAAAAGTCATTGGAGTACTCCTTTAATACTTTAAAGGAATCACTCGGTAGCTTCTTTCTTCTGCACCCTGGCGTGAATGCGCGCACACATTTTATGGCGTGAACTCTCAAGCAATGGCATCAAAAAGTTGTATCAAAAATATTTAATGTAGGCTGCAATAGGCCTACAAAAAAATACTAGAAATTGCAACTAGAAAACAAACATACCCCCCCCCAAAAAAAAATAAAAAAATAGACATAACTATGGATTGCTGAAAAAAGGATAAAAAAAAAATAAACTACTATGACTGAATAAAGAAGGAAACCCATTTTAAACACCTGTAAAATAAACGAGAGAATATAGGAATTATCAATGTTTATAAAGTTATTAACAGAGCTTTTATTTTATTTTATTTATTATAATAATCATCCTTTTTTTTTTTACATCTAGGATTTCTCCATTGAAACGCCACAGGAAGCCCACGACTCCAGTGAAGCTTTAGCGATACCCAGTGGCCTGTTCAAAGAACTACAAACAACATGGCGGCCCCCGTGAGGACATTGTGCTGCTCAGGTGAGACAGAGGTTATTCACTAAATGTGTTGTGTGTGAGCCTCGTTTTAACTTTGACTGGTGAGTTCAGTTTCTGTGGATATCTTCTTGTACCTGTCGCTATCTTTGTTTTTATCTTTTTTTTGTAAATAACTCTTATAAATAAAGAAACGACGAGCACCGAGCCTGATGCTACCAGACCCGAGCATACTGTTGGATAAAGTAGCATTTCGTTTATGTAGGTTTGTCAAATGCGTTTCCATGTGTTTACTAAAAGGTTTCATCTGTGTTTCTGTAAATGACTGGTGATTATAGATGTTGTTTGTGTTGTTTGACAGTGCTGAGGCTCTCCAGCAGACAATTCAGCACGACATGTGGAGTACGAGCTGGAGACAAATGGAGGAAAGAGTAAGTATTATTATTATTAATAATACACTTAGTTGATATAGCACCTTTCACAGAGCGAGGTCACTAATAAGTGTCTATTAAAATATATTAACATAAGAGTCATAACAACAATCACATCATGCAAGATGAACACAGATCACAGAGAAAACAACACTTGTATGTAATAGAAACCAGGTTAAATGTCAAACACTGATTTGAAAAGGTGTCTCAAGCAGCTTTTTTAAAAACATCAGGAGAAGCTGCTATGTGGAGAGGAAGAGAGATCCAAGTCGGAGACACAAAATTCAAAAGCAGGATCACCTTTGGTTTTCAATGTGACATGAGGAGGGACAGCCTGTAATCTGGGGTCAGCAGACCTGAGGGGTCTATGTAGGGATGGAGCAGGTCACAGATATAGATGATGATGCAGGGCCGGTGTGTAGTCTGAGTGAACCTGCTGGAGTTTGTTAACAATCTTGCAGCTGCATTTTAGATTTTTATTTTTTGGGGCATTTTGTGCCTTTTTTTTTTTTAGATTAGAGAGACAGGACAGTGGACAGAGTCGGAAATCAGGGAGAGAGAGAGAGAGTAGGGAATGACGTGCGGGAAAGGAGCCACAGGTCGGATTTGAACCCGGGCTGCCCGCCTGGAGGACGCTCTAACCACCGCGCCACCAGCGCCCCTCGCAGCTGCATTTTAAGCTGTTTAAAGGGGAAGTTAGACTTTTTCCTCGTTGTAGTGTGTTGTCATATCTTTCATGGCTGCTGCTTTGAACAACTTAAATTCCAGCGGTGGCGATTTAAAAACTTTGAAGGATAAAAAAAAATCAGCGAGGTTGTCAAACGCGAGTATACTCTGCAGCTTTACCTCTTTATTGTAAACCTACATTAGCTTCCTCACGCTGTGTTCACTGCTCCTGGTCAAAGTGCAGATTTGATAACTGAGGTGCAACGTTTTATGAAAATCTTTTTGCTTATTTGCATATCTTTGAATTCCACTGTGAGTAGGAAATGCTGGCTCTACAGGCAAGAAGTTAATATATTAAAGATCTTTTTTGTTCATCCAAAGTTGCTCTACTGTTAATTGTATCGGCGTTTGTTATTGGCTAAGTGTTTTTTTTTTTTTTTTTCCTATGATACTCTTGTAAAATAGTCCCAAAACTTCCATGTGAATGTAGCCCTTCATTTGAAACGGAATTTAATGAAACATTTTTTTTTTTTTTTTTTTTTTTATAATTTTGTGTCACTCTTTTAAAACCCAGAGAATCAAAATCAACACAAACATGTATCTCTTAAAAACAGAAATTAAATCTGAAGGATTCCAACACAAATCATGACAGGTTTTAAACGCTTTGGGGTAACAATTTGGACCTCCTGACTGTTCGGCTTTAATTTTCTGCAACACAACCCTCATCACATACTGAGGAGATAAATCATTTAAAAGATAACATTTGTGCTTCCCTGCAGAAATGGACTCTCCCGCACTGGTTCAGAATACGGCCCCCTGACAGATCTGCCTGACTGGTCATTTGCAGGTATTGTTTATCTCTACATTTCAAAGACACTATTTTTCCCAGCACAGTTTTGTAATATCTCATCATGGGGCTTTTTTCTCTCTCTTTGTGTTCCTGCACAGATGGAAGACCAGCACCTCCACTGAAAGGACACTTGAAAAGAAAGCAGCAGAGAGAAGATATAGCAGTGAGTATCCACATGTTTTTTCATTTTTTAAATTGAACTTTTCGACTGTTCTTTCTGTGTTTGCTGCTTTTCTGTAACCTTTTATCTCCCCCCCCCTCTCTCTCAGAGACGTATCGTGATGCTGAGCTCGGAGGTGGACATGGGGATCGAGGCGTGGAGGGAGAAACAGGAAGAGGCCAAACGAGTGGAGGAGCACAAAAAGTCTCTTTTACTCAAACCTAAAGGGAAGCTAATGAATAAAAAAACTCCCAGTTAGAAAGAGATCACCATGTCGCGTTATGACACGTTCAAACAACATGTTGACCTTCGGCTTGATGATGATATTTATGTAAACCGTTTCTTTTCTTTGTGTTTCTGCAATAAATTGTGTTTTCCCGATTCATTCTTAAAACACGTTTCTGTTTTGTGGGTTGAAAAAGTAGAAGTTAATGTCCCTCTTCTTCCAGCAGAATGCAGCATTTCTCCTTTTTCTCAGACCCTGTGGTGGCTCAAACGCCATTTTGTCTGCTGTTGGCTTCAGATAAGGAGTTTTTTGGTGAAGGGAGGAGCTGGCAAGCATGAAGTTGATCAGACTCAGGAGTTTTCTGCGTGTGTTTATAGAAAAGAAGTGGGGTGAGTAAGTGGGGGGGGGTTCACACTTTGGCATTGTGGCCATCTCCTTCCTGTGAATACACTATCAAAGTGAGTTTTTTTTTTTGCTTTGTATTCGAGTGAAGAAGCAAGCCAAGTGTGGTGTCAAAACAAGACTCAATAACTAGTTTTTATACTGTGAGATGGAAGAAAAACATTTGAGATAATATCCAGGGATGTGTCTTCAAACCTTTCGACTTATTTGAGCACAAAGAGGAGGCGATGTCTGAATTCTGCAGCCGGCTTGGCGTCTGGAAAGATGATTAGCCGGCTAGAGCGAAGTTGGCAGAAAGTTTCATCCTCCTGAAAGCGATATTTGCTGCTATTTGATCCAGGTTTTTTTTTTTTTTTTTCTTCTTTGCGCTAGATTAAGTCTCAATCAAGCTGCAGAAACACTTGACTGCGGCACCATTTAACTTTAAAAGACGGAAAGTACAAATCATGCAAATCTGAAACCTCTTTATTATATTTTGAGTTGTTGTGTGCTTCTTTTGAACTAACAAAGAAGAATTCAACTCTTTGTGCACCTCTGGTTTACAGAGGGATGTTTTTCAGCTGTTCTTTTGTACAGTCAGCACTAATTTCAAGTGACTTTGACTTATAAACAGACTATTTACAAAATGAGGTAACCCTCTCCTCACTCCCCCTCCTGCTCTCTTACTTTTGCTCCCTTCTCCCTCACATCCCTCATACCCCCTCTCTCTCTCTCTCTCTCTCCCTCTCCCTCTCTCTCCCTCTCTCTCTTCTTCTCTTGTTGCAGACTTCAGCAAAGCCTCACTGTAATTAGGACCGCTAGCCGCTGAGTTGCAGATTCTTTTCTGTGGAGATGGGGAGTTTTCTCTCCCTCCTCCTTTTTTTTCTCCTTTTCTTCAATTTTCATACAGCTGACCAAAAGAGCTGACTGTTGGGGGGGGGGGTGTTTGAGAAGTGTGTGAGCACATAAAACAGGCCACAGAGGGTGTTAAAGATAATAAATACAGTCGTAAGAAATGCTGAAGTGGTTCATCACACACACACATCCTCACACCTGCACCTTCAAAGACATCCACCACCACCACCAGAGAGAAATGTAACTTCATTCTTCTCTTTTTCACATCCTCCTTTTTTCTCTCTAAATGTCTTTCTCCTTTCCTCAAAGACTCCTCCCATCCTCCCCCCCGTCTCTCCCCTTCCTCCTCGTGTTGTTTTGGTTTTGGGGAAATGAGAACCAGATGTTTGCTTATTGTGCAGAAGTCAGCGATGGATAGAGTGTGAGAGAGAGAGAGAGACGGGGGTGATTGGGTTTTTTTTTTTTTCAGGGGTGAAGGGAGTGTTGGGTGAGGTCAGTCTGTGAGGATACAGCATGGGGGATTAGCTGACATGTCTCTGTAGCTTCACCCGCAGACCAGAAGCAGGGAGGGGTTCAGGGGCTGCAGGAGGACGAGAAACAGTGCAGTCGGTATGGGGGGGGGGTTCTGGAGGGTCTGATTCAGCATGTTGGACCCAAAGACCGCTTCCTGACCTGGGTGTTCCTGGAGTGTGGGGCACCCTGAGTAGCATGTTTCACAAAAATACACTTTAAGATTTTTAAACGAGTGCAGGGCTGTTCATTAAAAACTGACACTGTGTTAGCTTTGTTTGTAGAAAGTTTGACAATAACACAAAAAAAAGTCCCACTTCACATGGGATCAGAAAGTATCAGAGCAAATGATTTACGTCTTGTTTGTGTTAGTTTGTTAAAACGGTTCTGATTCAGTTGGACTGCTTTCAAAACTCGGCTTATATCAACATCATAACATCTATTTTTCATAACAATTTGAATATATTATCCAGCTGGAAGAGGAGGATTTATTTGGAATTATTTTCCATATTTATTGGTTAGTTTCTGAGGTTCCCAACCTAGAGTTGGAACCCCTCCAAAGGGTCGCAAGATACATCTTAAGGGTCTGAGAATGATTAAGGAATCAGCTAGCAGCTAACGCTTTGATTCCAAATATACATGTGCTTTATGTTCAACAGAATGCAAAGGTAAAAATGCAAAATTGCATGCACCCTCGAATGTAGAATGAGTCATCAACATTTTTTCATGTTGACAGAAAATGACCCACCCCAAAAAATCTAGGTGACATATCAGTTATATATGTGACAGTAGCTGCATGACATTATGTACGCAGTTAGAAAAAAACATAAATGTCAACTTTAGAGCATCATCATGCAAGAATTGGTTTATTTTTTCTGAATTGGCATTCCTTCAGTTTCCATGTGCAATCATTCTGTTGCCAACGGCTTAAGCCAACCCCAGATGTGTTTGTGTCTGTTTTTTTTTCTCTCTCTCTCTCTGGTCACATTGATGTCATCTTAGGGCTCTTCCTTTCTGCTGTGATGTCCTAAATGAGAATAAAAAGCTAAGATGGGTATCAGGAGAGGTTTTTATTCAAGACAGAAACGTTCAGAAATGATTTTGAAGCTGGTATGTTGCCGTTATCATTCAAACTACAGGATGAATTCACCTCTTTGGGCACACACAATGATCTGAATATGTGAGAAGTGCAAGGTTTAAAAAGCTCTTAGATTGAGCCTCATACCACTGAAAGGTAAACCCAAAGCAGACACGGCTTTAAGCCAAGTCACAAGCCCAATAAGTCTTCAGTGATGACCTTTATTTTATAAACCTGATACATGTTATCATTATTATTATTATTAAATCCAATCTTTAAAGTAGTAAGTAGCTATACAGTGTTTTACCTCTGACATGTAATGAAGACGTACAAAGTACAATCATGGTAAGAGTTTGTCACCCTGCAGCTCGCCAGCCCGACACTTGAGTAATTATTTTCCATCGCTGGAAGTCGGTCAAAGAGAACAAATGAGGAGAAAAAGGAAAAACAAAAAAAAAAAGAAGTGCTGTTTGAGTTACAGTAGAAAATAAATGGTGCCATAATGTAGGTCACCCAAACAAAGTCCCAGGTTGAATTGCAAACAGCTGGCCAGGCCACTTCCTGCCTGGCTGAGCCTGATGGCTGTTCCTGCACCGCCCAGAAAGACTGTAACACTTCAGCATTCAAATGGATCACAGAGAGCGAAAGAAAAGAAAAGGTTTCATCTGTGTTCATGTCTGTGACCTTGAAGACAAAACACAGGGCAGACGCTCCAAACACATGCCCAGATTTTTGCATACAAAAGGCCAAAACTAAGTGGAAACTAGTTCTCGGGCTTAGTCTGTTGATTTATTTTCTCTTCCACACACTGATTTTTTTCAGTATTACACACCACTCTCAAAGACAAAAATCTGACAAGACAAAAGCTTAAAAAAAGGGTTTCTGCAGCATACTTTACAGGTCTCATAGTCTCCAAACAAGTTAATTATTTAGAAGATGCCCGGAAAAGAGGCGTGCAATTTGGTCCGCATGCAACATGAAGCCATCGTTTAATTGTTACACTGCAAGAAAACGAATTCAAATGTATTAGTGTGAACAAAAACCATTGTGTCCCAACGTAGGGTTCACAACCTCGAAAACAGTCTTCTTCTTCTTTTTCCAGGAAATAATGTGTTGTTGTGTCTGGAAAAGGAGAGCTGAGTTTCAGTAATTGTCTTGGCTGAGAATTATTATGAATGTGTGATTAAATGAAGTCTGCCTGTTTAGATTTATAATGTAAATAAAGTATTTTCTAAAAATCTAAAAAAAAAAAATCTTCTTCTTCTTCTTCTGTGAATTGCTGGATTCATCTAATTCTCTGTCTTCTAGCTTTAAGACATTGACCCACTTTCATTTTGAGCATGACTCAACCATGAAGCCAAAGCAACATGTTTTCATCTGATGGAATCAAAAGTTATGCGATTTTGAACCTCTGCCACAAAGAGTGTTTAGGTGTGAAGCATTACAGAGTGAATCACTAACTCCAGTGTAAAGGATTTCCAGTAACTTCGATTTTATTAGCAATTAAAAAATAAGTCGATTTCATCTGCTTTTGAATTCTACTCAAATATAAGTCTAAGAATATTTCTCTCCAGGAAACTTCAGAAGAAAATGTCTGACACTTTCCTGTTCCTAACTTTGAAGGAAGGCATTATTGGCTTTGTGTTAGTGGATAAAAGTGTGTGTTGTTTTGCTTAAAGACATTTCTTTGTCATCAAAAGTGACTGCACCGAGTGAGTAAAAGACAGAAGAACATTGCAGTGCATGAGAGAGATCCACAGAGACAAATGGAAACACCAGGTGACGCACACACACACACACACACACACACACACACACACACACACACACACACACTAACACACACACAGGACGAGAAAGAAAGAGCAAAAACAGACCAGAGATACTTGTGGTGAGAAGGAGGAGTGGTTTCAGACTGAAGCCTCATAAAAGAAACAATTTTGCAGAGGGTGAGGAAATAAGAGAGAGAGAGAGAGAGAGAGAGAGAGAGAGAGAGAGAAGGAGGAGGGGGGGTTGCTAATTTTTTTTTCCTTGGATAGAAATGTGCGGAGGGAAAAAAATCCCCAAGCCAATAAATTAATTTGTGTTTCAATGCCTTTCTCATTTCTTTCAGCTTTTCTCTTTTCCTTTTCGTTTAACTCGATGTTCCGTCACATGTTTTTCATAATGAACTTAATGGGATAAAGCTAGGGCACCCTTTGAACACATGCACACACACACACATACAGTACACACACATGCACATACAGTATACACACATGCAGAGTATACAGCCAGGCTTGGTCGTGCACTTGAAGAAATACCAGATGCTCAGCTGGAAAGCTTTTCTCTGCAAAAAAATGTG